TTAATAATTATGGACAGTTCTCATTCCCCTGTCATCGAGAAAATGCTGCTGCCTGCAATAAATCCATGTAGTTTAGAAAGACTAAAGGTAGAAAATACGTTTGAATGATTTGGAATAAAAATATTCGAAGGAGAAAAAAGCCCACCAAAACCCCACCCATGATTATTTTTAACCTTCACGTGACCATCATGTACAAGACTGGGGACTCTTTGGTTTTGGCTGCCCATAATGTGTAAAATATTGTTATGTATTTCAACTGCCTCCTGGGGAGGAATGTGGAGGAGTGTATGGAGTGTTACAGGAGCCTTCTGGGGCATCAGACTTGGCAGGGTGTGCTTGGCTGTGCTCAGGTGTGGCTGAGTGTGCTGGTTCTAACAGATGATGAGCTTGGCATTGATGCAAACCATACTGTGAGCAGTAAATGCTGTAGAATGTTCTGTTTATGCTGCTGCTCACAGCGTGAACTGCTCCATCCAGTCTTCAGCACTCCTTAAGCAGCTACTGCCATCCTGCAGGTCAAGTTGGAGTCCTGGTGCCATTGTCAGGTTGGTTTTTTTTTATGGAGGTGGCATTTTTTTTGTTTTATTTTGTGAGGAAGATGACCTTTGAAAGAGATGGGTTTAAAGGAAGCAGAAATCTTTAACCAGCTCTTAAATTTCAAGCAAGAAAATCAAATTCTGATTTTGTTAGCTAGAAACTCTGCCTGGTTTAAGACTGGAAAGTAAAGAGCTTGTTTGGAACTGAAGCTTTTAAAAGAATGGCTTGTTGAACAGAGTTATAATGTTCTGGTGTTTTTATCTTTTAGGGGCATGGCCAGTTCTTATTGATGACTTTGTGGAATTTGCACGCCCTCAAATTGCTGGGACAAAAAGTACGACAGTGTAGCACTAAAGGACCCTTCTAGAGTGTACATAGTCTGTACAAATACCTGAAATGGAAAATTGCACAGTCAATTTCTGCTGGCTGGACTGAACTGAAGATCAATCCTCACAATATGGCTGAGGGTTGAGACAAACCTTTAAGGATACATCTTGGACCATATCATATTTCATTCTTCTCCTGGTGGTTTGGGCTTTTCTTCTAGTCTGGACCACTCTTGCCCGTTAAAATTCCAACATTGTGGATTTCATCATGGATTTATTTTTTGTTGGTGGATCACCCTAGTTTCATCTCCCATAAGTCCTAGAAGCTTTATAATTATTTTGAGGTTTCTGGTTTCACATGAAGCACAATGCTGGTCATCATCAGACAACTGTTGTATGGCATCTGAATTATACAGATCAACATCGAAACAATTTTTAAAAGAATCCTTAAATATACACTTGGGGCTGGTTGCAAAGACTGTACTGAGAGCACTTCCTGCAAGAGTGATATATTTAAGTGTCCTGGGTCCCAGTTTTTTCTTTTCTGGAAAAGTGCAGGTATTGTCTAAGTGAGTTTGAGTATCTGGTAAAAACAAATACAGAACTAAGCAAGCAAGCCCAAGGTTGTTGATCCTGGGGTCTCTCGGTGCCTCCCTGCCTGGTTTGATCGTGCCCAGCTGGCTGTGAGGGCAGCTGAGCTACGACACAACTCTGTGCACTTACAGCACCCACGTGTGATGTCAGAGCCCTCAGTGACATCAGTGAGATGAGCTGTGTGTGTCCTCATAGCATCCAATATTCCCTAGGTTACTGTCTAAGAAATCAGATTTCATTGCAGTTCTGAAATGCTTATCTGTCTGTCAAAGAAAGGTTTTTCATTTCTGTGGAAATCGAAAACTTGAATATACTGAATTTGTGTCTTAACTGTTTGCTACACAATACAGTATTTTAAATTGAGATGTGTAACTTTTATGGTTGAGGTATGATGAAGCAAATGGCCCTGTTGTACAAGAAGCTGGTGAGTTTGATGTGAATCTAGGTTTTGAAACCATTATCCTGATAAGTAAGTTAAATCTTTGTAACATAGAGGTACTGCCGTTACGGATGACACCCTTTTTTCAATTATTTTGTTGAGTTTTCCTTAAATTGACATATCACTGTGGTTGCCAAATACAGAAATTAAGAGTAAAGCTTTCCCAAACAAGCACAGATCAGATACAAACTACTACACTGGCTTTGTTTGTTTAAATTATTTTGTTGATCACTACTTTTTACTGTCTTACTGCGTTTGACTAAATCAAGTTCATTTGGTTTAAAGCAGGTTTTATCAGATGCAATTATTCTTTAATATTACAAGAACTCTTGAGCTGCTTTTGTGGTCTTCTACTCCTCACTTAGTTACTTGTGAAGAGATTTGATAAATCCTGCTCTGTAAAACAAGCTGGAAAGAAGAAGCTCCAGGAGAGGAGACAGACCGGAGTCACAAGTGAGGAGAGAGGGTTGAGTTTGTGCTCTAAATAGTGCCGTGATAAGGCCAGAATTATTTTTGAGATGAGTCACTGGTACTTGCACTAAACAGCAGCACACTTTTACGCAGATGCTAAAAGTATTTTAGGGAAAAATTGAAAAATATTAAACGGATGAAATTTTTTTATTTGTACTCTCTGAAATTGCCCTTAAGGCTGGCTCCCCTTCCAGCAGTGCCCTTTTAGCAAATCCACTTGTGCATTGATTGCAAAAATACAGTTCCACAAAAACATTGCAAACTTGCTCCAGCTACTGGAATTGGCTATGCCAAAAACTGTGTGTTTTGCTGCTTTCAGTATATCCTTTCTCAATTTTGTGTAAATATAAATGGGGACTTTAAATTACAGGGGTGGGTGGGGTGGAAAAAAAGCTCGACAAGGTATCTCTGCGTGCTGTTTTCTGTCTTGAGGGTTTTGGTACCGTTTCAGATTGATTAGTTCAAGTATTGCTGTGTTTGGAGAGGAGAACTGACTTGCTTTTTATCCCAATACAGACTTGTCCCTCCAAAAAGTCTGAGATTGGGCAGTGGCGAAATGCCGTGGTGTTTTAAAGACTATTCCTTTTGAATGCAAGATCTTTTCAACAAAATAGTGTTGTCATCAGTTTGGTACTACATGCTTATAATTACTGTGTAATTATAAAGAAATACATAAAACTTCGACTTATTGCAGAAAAGGGGTTATTTGTGCTATCATGGCATCTTAAAAGTTTTTCAAAATGACTGAAGTTGAAAGAAACATTGATTTAGCAGGGTGTTGTTTTAAGGACAAAATGCCTGATTACAGGGAATATTTTGTATTGAAACGTGCTCGGATGTGGCCATGTGTGTTTTTCCTTTATATATTTGTGTGGGTTTTTTTCTTTTTTTTTTTTTTTTTTTTTAAGAATGCAGCCAGTTGCTTCCTTGGATTGCTTTAATTTGTAAGTGCTTATGTCTTCAATTCGATGATCTCCCCACAAATGGATCAATTTAATTTTGCCAAATGTCAATGAAAAAAAAAAAAAAAAGAAGGCAAACATCAAGTTTGTAACCTGTTTTTATACATTAAAAAATGTACAAAATTAGAAGTGCCCTGATATAAAACACTTAATCTCGAGATTATATTTAGTAAAAATCCGTCATTTACATATCTCTGTAAGTTCAAATGTAACTTCTTACAATCCCTCTCATTACCAACAGAGGCAATAAAGCTCCAGTGAAATTGCCATGACTGAGGCTTCTCCTGCATTGTTTCAGTGTATTATTTGTAAGACTTATTTCTGGAATGTTCTTTTAAGGAGTGGGGGTGGGGGGGAAAGCATGGAATACTTGTCTTCTGCATAAAATAGTTTCGTGGTAAGTTGTTTTTTTCTTTTTGGGGAAAAAATAATCTAAAAACTGCTTGTTGTACATGTGTACAAGTCCCCACGGAGCCGGTGTTCCCAGCCTTCGGCATTGCCATTCCCTAGCATGTGAAGGAAGACACCACACACACTGCAGTGGTTTAAATGTGGCTGAAGACCATCCTACAGTAGTGAAGTGACTTTTTTTTATCAACCTGTTAATAAGTAACTTATGACCTGCTTCAAAACTGTTTTACAATGAAATCCGTGCTGAGAAATCCTTATTTAAGAAAGATATAATTTTTTAAGAATGCATTTAATAAACTTTTGTCATTCACACTTTATTTAATTACCGTTGCCAGAAGTCTCTGTAGATTTTATTTGAGTATGGTACAGTGACTGTGTTTGGTTTTTAAACCATGGTGCCCTTCAGTCCTCTGAGCTCTCCAAGAGTTCACTGCAGCATTAAATACTTGTTGAAATTATAATTTCATTTATCAGAAATAGGTCTAAGCTTTGTAGAACTGTAGCTGGTTTAGTACCAATGTGTAGAAGTATCTGCTTGAGTAAAGACCAAGAATTTTGCTCCTGATGGTTTAAACAGGCACCTGTAACTCAGGCCCAAGTCCGAGCACTTAAACTGGAAGTTCTGCTAAATGGTCTTCAAGTTCTCAGACTAAACAAAAGCTGCCTGAATGTCATTTGAATATTTTGCAAGAAAATTAAAACTCCTTCTTTTCTAAATTCAAATTGTATGTGTTCAAGAATATAACATTCCAAGCCTTCCTCAGTGTTCAAAGGACAACTGGCAGGACTCAGAGGGAGAACCCTGTAAATCAAATTAGGACCAGGAACCTGAGAGGGTGAGAAATGATGGGGCTGTAAAGGTTGTGTGTGGAGAGGACCAGGCTGTGGTTGGGCAGCTGAGTGAACTCTGGGTTACATTTACTGTTGGAGAAATGGGAACGACCCCCAGGCTGGAATTCATCACTGAGCATCTCATGGTGGGCTCCAGGGCCAGCGAGTTCCTGGGTCAACTGATTTGAGCTCAGCTGCTGGAGGGACACCCCTGCATCCCCTTACACACACATCTATGGGTGTATGTAAGTGTGTGTCTTTATGTACAGCTGTGGGGGTTTTGGTTTTGTTTTGCTTTTCTTCCTGGTGGACTTCTCTCCAGCCTGAGACTGCTGGGAATACCTCTACTGACTGATCCTGGGCCTGTGGCACAGCAAGCGTGGCTTTACTCTGCCATATTTTCCTCTAACACATAATTAAAACAATGACTCAGCTAGAAGTGACAGTTTTATTTAATAAATATAATTTTCATAAACCATTTTCAAAACAACTTCTACTGACCAAGCTGTACAAGGAGCAAGCACACAGCCTCGCTGTCAGAGGAGCAAAACCAACATGAGGCAGCCACAGTGTCAGAGGTCCAAAATTCTTTGTACTAATTATTGCTAGTTTCCAGTTGGCAATGCCCCTTATTTGCCTAAAATTAAGGATCAACATCTTTCAAATAGTACTTCTTGCAGAGATTTTATCATTCCAGTTTTTTTTTTTCCTTCGGAAAAGCAGAACTTGATCACGCTTCAGTGAAAAAACAGGAGACAAGATGATCTGTTGTTTTTGTATGCATAGGATCCGAAATCTCTCATGGGACTGCAACTAGGAATTGTAAAATCTATTCTTTGAGATATAAATAAGATACTCCTGCAGCAAGGTGAGCCTCATTTTTAACCGTTTTCCCCTTTCTATATATGCCCCAGAGATTATCTTCCAGCCCGTTCTCAAAACGTAAAAAGGTTGAGAACCTGCTGATGGATGAAGTAATTTCCTTTAAACCTGCTGAGGAAAAATTATTCCACCCCCCAGGCCAGGCCAGGGTTTCTTTCAGACAAGTCACACTCTGTGCCACAAACAGCAGCACATTTATTTCATCACGTTCCAGGCACAGCCCAGGGCCCCTCCGCTCCCATCTGTGCATTTACAGCCCGGGAACCACCGCGGCCCCTCCGCAGCGATGACGGGATGGACTGAGGGCAGCACAGCCGCAGCCAGGGAGCGACAGGAACATCCCTTCAACCAGCAGCACACGGGCTCTCCACTCAGACAGTCCTGATGCCTCTGGGAGCAGGATTTAGCTGAAGGAAAAAAAATCTACTGCAAGCAGAAGCCTCGCAAATACCGATGCAAATGCGCTTCTAAGACGACTGATGGCAAGAGCTGATAGAGCCACGAGCATCCCGTTCTTCCCTCCTCCTGTTACAAACTGAGTCATTCCCAGAGAGCAGAACCCAGACAAATCATGCCGCTGGAAGCAAACAACAGAAGCAAAGAACGTACAAAACAACCAACAGTAAAAATGTTTGCAAAAAAACCCCCAACCCAGATCTGCAAAGAAGAGAGTCTAGTTGGGAACTAATTTAGGAGCAGAATAAAGGCTAAAATTAGTCCCTAGTGAGTGGTTTGCCCAGTTCTAGGAACAACTGTAAGCAGGGACATCTGTGTAACAAACAAGGCAGTGGTGAGTCCAGCAATGATGGCAAGTTATTAGGGATTCTACACCAAAAAAATGAGAATCCCAAAATAGCTCAAAAATAAATGGTTCAGAAGCACATTATGCTTGAGCACTTTAACACTGAACTTCACCAAAATCACAACTCCTTAGAAGTACAGAAGTATCAAACTATGAAAAATGATTTAGACTACAGCTTTGAGACACTTCTAACACTAGAAAATGATATTTTATTCCAATATAGAAGTTACACTGTCATAAAAACGTTTGAAAGTACTAGCAAAGGTTTTCAGTAAGACATTGTAGGTGCCTAATATGCATTCTAAATTGCATGAGCTTTTCTCAAATCACCTTTTGCACTTGAAAACAATAAGTCACTGAAAATATAAAGCCAAAGTTTTCAGGGTTCTTCCTTTGCAGTTTTTGTTCCCCCTCCCCTACCTGTAACCTTAAAAGATATAAAGAATATTCTTAAGCAGAATATTTACATTTTAGTTTGTGAAACAATTCAGAACATCTTTCCACTGAAGTCTTTTCCACTGCATCCTTTTAAAAGCTTAAGCTTGGCAACTAAAATTATGTTTTCCTAAGTAACAAAACCAAACCCTGTTTTTCCAGAACGAGAACTGACCTGCTGCAATCGCATTTGGGAGGGGCTGTGGACAAGGTGCTTCTTCAGAGACACCGCATAGTAAAGCGAGTGTACACCACTCTTCCTTTGAACTACAAACTCCTACCTACAGGCTTTTATGGATTTCGAGGCTAAGAGAGAATAATAAGATATTTCCTCCTTGTGGCAAATTGTCCTCCACCCGTTCCCGCTCTGTCTCAGGGACGAATGCCAGTGTTACACTGAATTAGCTGGATTTTGTTCTGGCTTCTAACGAAGGATTCTGCACTGTGCCCAATGCACAGTGAATGGTTTCCTACACTTCAGCTGTCAAAGAAATACACAAAGTCTTTCTTCCTTGAATAAAAGTGTTTTTTAAAAGCTTTGTGACATCAACACAAAACCCCAGTCACTTCTTCCATCCAAAGTATTTGTCACACCAAAAAATCTGGTCTAAGGCAAACCATGTCTATGTTCTGAATGAGACATTACTGACTTAGATTTACTGCAAATAGAAAAATATACCTTGGCAGACAGATGGATTCTTAAGTTCCTCCTTAATTGTTTAAATGCATGTTTCTTCGGTAACCTTACAAACACTGGGAAAAGGGAAAGTAGGGGGGAAAGGGAGGAGAGGAGATGGAAGGTTTTAAAGAAACATAATGAATGTAAATTATTCTTCAAATATAGGACTGTGCTGCTTTTGTGCAAATATAATTAATACATTTTTGTGGTAAAAGCCAAAATACATCACCCACAGAGCTGAGCCAATGGAAATGCTTGGAGTGGGGCTGTACAAGGCCTCTGCTTCCTACTGCACAACATTAACCCCAGTCTGTATTTTGGTCCAGGACACACGAACCACACGGATGGATGAGGTCACACACACTGACGGGACAATGCTGTGGCTGACACGGACAAACAAGTACTGCTGAAAGGTGGAACACTGTGATTTAGGTGTAAAAGATACAGCTAAACAGCAGATATCTGATTAGAGCACATAATTCTGCATTTCCTAGGTAACCGTGGCAGTGTGAAGACTCTGAGAATGAGAAACTACTACAAAGAAAATAATTTTAAACCCATGTATAATATTAGGTGATAGGAGTAGATGAAATCCAAGTGTATTTTGCTAGTAGTGCATATATGGATAAGTTTTTTTGGGGGACTGGAGAGACAACAATCAGGTTATTGCATCTCTGCGCTGGATCCAGGTTTCAAGCTGCCTGCAGTGGGATGAGTCACATGTTCATACCTGCTGCATGGAGAAGGCAAGGCTCGATTTTAGTGATTCCTCATCCCCTGGACACTTGCTGTGGGGATCTAGTGTACACCTGACATTTTCAAGCTCAAGCTTGTTTTTAGGTAAGGCACATGCAAAGGATCTGATCCAAGGAAAGCGGGACCTCTTCAACGCTTCCTCTCCTCATTGAACTCGGGAGAATTTGGGATGAGGGATTGGAGAATGAGGGATACACTCCTCTGGCAGCAGCCCAGGCCCCTACTGAGATGTAACCAGGAGGGTGGGATGTGCCTGCCTAAATCATGGAATACAAAGGATCTGCTGTGAAATGTGGGCAACTGAGGGCAACGGCAGCAACTCACCCAGGCAGGGGGAAAGTGGCTTTGCCCGAATCCTACACTTCCCCACACCTTTACTGAAGAAGTTCTGTAGGTGTTATTTACAGTCTGTGTTTGATTTACAGTTTATTCTACCCCGAGTTAATTTTAAATACACAGCCTTAAATCTTTAGCTGCCTGACAGGGAGAGTATTGAAGTTATTGATGGGACTTCAGTGTCAGAGGCTGACTTAAAACAGCATGTCCCAAAGCAGCAGCACTTTCACCAGCCACAACCCACAAACACCACTGTGCCCAAGGCAGTGCTCTGCAGTCATCCCTGTGGCAGCACCTCCATTTCATCTCCCACATCCAAAGACAACCATTCTGGCTGAAGGAACATGTAAATGTTGCTGCTACCCAGCCCCAAGCCTGCAGACACGTTTATACTGGGACAACAGAAGTACCTGCAAGATGCACCATTCAAACCTCCAACTGTGCAATTTGCTTTTATTGGCATACTCGGGTATCAAAACATTGCCATCAAGGTCTCGGATCCTTCCGATATAACGAAGATAATTAAGCATTAATTATATCTTCAAAGTACAACATGACCAAATATAAATACATGAAAAAGAACAAAACATGCAAAAATTCCCCAACTTTAAAAGATTAATAATTCAAAAAATTTATGCTAGTGAGACTTCTGCACAATCCACCAATTCTTTGAACAGTTTTCCATGTCGGGATCCGGAACTGTTAAAAAACCCACACATGGCATAATAAAGGATGACTGGCTCCCGAATTATACTTTAAGAGAACAGTGAACTGTTATATCCCTTAGTATTCCAAATTATTGATTTGTCACAGTTAACAGTGTTTTTCAAAGCAATGACTAATGTATTGCCACTCATATACCAGCATAAATATTTGAATTGCATTTAACTCTCAAAAATTACTAAACTGATTGCTCACAGAATATGGTAACCATCCACAGAAACAAAAAAATTGATCTGCAAACTGCTAAGACAGCATCTGAGACACAGCTCAAAATGAATGTGTGTGTTTAAAGGGAAGGGTCATCATGAAAAATGCGACTTTTAAAACTTCAATTGTGCAAATTCAAGTTGATTCAAATTGGATCACTCAAATTTGGGAGGAGAAAGATGTTGTCATTGCGCTGCAGTGACGTCTCAAGTATTAAATTCAGGATTTCAATCTGCTCATACGGTAACAAAAAAGATCAAATGGTCAGAGGTAAAAGCATTCCTTACCTCCAAAAAAATTATTTAGCAATTTGTAGATATAATTAGAAAAAAATACTGGAAGCAATAGCTGTGCAGATGCCAAGCCACAGACAAGGTCTGTGCTTAGGAGTCACTCTACTCTTTCCTAGGGCAGCGACGGACACTGGACTCGCCTCAGAACCTACAGGTGTGTGAGCACCACATGGCTTCCACAAGGCATTTACAAATGTCCCTGTCAACAAGTGGCTGAGTCCATTGTGGAGAGAGTCAAGATGCTTCTGTCGTTGGCATAGAAGGGATCCGAGGAACTCCATGATCTAAAGTAACAATAAAAGAAAAGTTTGGCTGACTGGGAACTTATACTCTACAGAGGTGAGGAGAAAAGTCTAGGAAAGCAAAAGATAGAAGTGCTATGAGATTAGGCAAATGTTCCTCTTTAAAAGACTAATCTATTCATTTCATGTAGGCACCTGCAATTCATTCAGACCTTTGAGAACAGATGCCAATCATGTCTGCTGTGTAATTAACAATTTACTCACAGCTACGGATATTTTCCTCACTATGAACTAAAACAACCAGAGGTTTATATGCCCCTTTTGCCACTAAAGTTTCAATACTGTGCCCTCAGGGAGACTCTGAATGCTGCCTGTGTACACTGAGGCACCACCTGAGGCCGTTCCAGCAAAGCTCTGTGGTGCACAGCTACCCCAGGAAACCCAGCACACCCGTGTCCCAACGGGAAACATCCACGCTGGCTGGAGTTGTGGGCAGGCAAAACTGATCCACAGCCTTTTACTGGTAAATTTTAAGATATAAGGAAATCTACCTAAGACGTCACAGCTTCTGACTGAGATGGGATCTCACAATGTCTTTCACTTGAGGACAAATTACTGCTTGGGAAGAAATACTGTTCTTGGCTGAACAATGTTATGAAAATTGTATGTGAAATGCTGAAAAATAGAAGGCTGGAAGGCAGGAAATCAAAACATAATGAACTTATCCTCCAAATTAGCCTCTGTCAGAAATCTGCTGTTTCTTTACAACTGTTACATGCAGTGCCTTGACACAAGTACCACTAATGGGAGATCCAACAATTCAGCAATGAATCCTACTGTACAAGAAATGTGATCCAGCATTCTTAGTATCCGAGTGACTGACAAGCTGACAGACAATTTAATGGAAGACAGACAAAAATGCATTTTTTAACATACCACACCACACATTTTATAGCCTAACTGGTGAATGGAGCTATAGAAAATACTTCTCAAATACATTTTACAAGCAGTAAAATAAACACAAGAGAACTACACTCCTGTGGCCCACTACTCCAAGCATTTGTACAACTTTGATTCATCAAAGTTTCTATCAAAATTTGATACCATGTTGGATTTCCTGTTCAGTTCTCATATTTGACAGAATATCAGGAGCACAGAATACAACACAAGCTGCTACAGCAACATTATTTAAAGAAGTGCTCTTCATTCTACAGCACTTGCACAGACAATGTATTTCTCAGCATCACTTCATTCAACAAAAATAATTTGCAGCTACCTCCTGGTTGAATAATTTGCTGCTTTATACAGCACAAGTGCTCAGGAGACCAACCTGTTGTGGACTGCACAATTTTCTGAAGATTTAGATACAAAACACAGCAGCTCAAGCTCGTGAACAAAGCCTAAACAATTTTACAAGCACTTTAAAAAATCACTCAAGAGAATTCTTAACTGTACCTTCAGCATTTCACGACTTGTAACTGCTTCGTGTGATTCAAGCAATTCATGGCTAAGCCATGGCTTTGCTAAAAGATTCAAGCAATTAAGATGTTAAAAAATGAACAAAGACTTTCTTATATTACTAGGAAAGTGTAAGGGAAGAAAATCACTTTTAGCCTTGGTTTTAAGTGTCAATGCTGAGTAGAAGGAGCTGAAGTCACTGAAGACAGCAAGTATGACACACTTAAAAAAAAAAATCTCTTACCTAGGTGTACTGTACATAAATTTAAGTGAAACTAGAAGATTGTTCAGAGCAATTTCAACCAGAGGCAGCAGCAAAAACCATAGAACTGCAAGCCCTTAGTGTAGCACCAAGATAGTTTTGCATATTCATTAAACGTAATCCTATTGTCTGTGTTCTAAGAACTCTACAATTATTTGGCTTGATGGAACTTCATCTGAAAATTACATGAGGTAAGCAGACAAGAAACCTGAGAAAAAGCAGTCTTCAAAGATTGTTTAATATTCTGTCAAATATGAGTTATCTTCAATAAGTATTTATAAGTTCTCAAGGAAAGAAAATTTAAGTGGAACAAAAGAGAAAATCGTAAAACTGTGAATGCATTAAATAAAACACAGAATACCTACCTTATAAGACTACAGGTTACTAAGGCAATTGTTAACAAAAATCTTAATTAGATAACAATAAATGGAAAAGAAGTAGCATGAGAAATTCCTCATTTGGAAAGCACAGTTTTACAGAGAAGTGGAAAAAAACATCAAAAAACTTAGAGCAACTGCTACCAAAATGTTGATTTTTAGACCAATTAAATGCTCACCTTGTAGATTAAAAATTCTATTAAATTGTTTATTTTACACATCATGCCCACTTTCTATACAGCAAGTTTGAATTAAAAATGTACTTAGTCATAACAGTTCATATTTCATATGGAATGAAACATTTTGCATATTCATAACCTAGGTTTGTAGAAACACTGAATAAATTTCATAAGCAAGCCAGAAGAGAGAGACTGACTGAAACCACAGACACAGTGTTCAACACAAGAGTTCCAACAGAGATGAGCTACAGACCAGGCAATACCTAAAGGCAGAATCAGAGCTGACAAAGCTGTCAGTGGAAATTACCCACACCAGACTTGATACCCAGTGAATGATATCACAACCTTTAACAGAAAGAGACAAAGTTGTCCAAATACAAAATGAGTTTCCTTGAAAATGTGTGAAGCTCAATGTTTTCAGGTTTGCCTTTTGACCAGTGAAGGACCATGATATCATTCAGAGACTGAGAGATTACGATGTACAAAAGACTATTTTGACTTCTACCCCCAAATATTTCCATGTTTGTTCACTATCCCTCTATTTGGACATGGGGAGATGGCACATTAGGGGATTCAGTGAGAGCTCCTCTGACCATAAGAGCAGTATTGCTCTTTAGACATATTCCATTACTCTAACGTGCTTTTATCCCACTGATGTTTGTTTCACACATGGTTTGTGGAGGAAAGATTTATTTAGCACACACTTTGGAATGGCACACATGATTTTGACAATATACCTTCTAGAACCGAAAAAACATTTAAAATTCTTAGAACCTGAAGACTCTGTTCTGTCAATTACTCTGATTTTAGAAATAGCTTATAAAAGTTATACTACAAAAATATTTCATCTTCATATCAATCAATGGCTGAAAGATTTAAAGACTCTCCTTCTAACAATGAAGTTATATTTAAGGGGGGGAGTGTGAGCCTTTTGTATATCTTCAGGAGTAATTCAAGCTCCAAGGTAAATATTTGGAGGTTGTACATCCAGAACCAAAGGGAAAAGTCTTTCGACTTCATAAACAACTCCTGATTCATGAAGGCAAAAAAAAAAATCATAAAAAGGAGAACAAAAACAGCAGCAAGGCTTGATCTTCTAAAGAGAAGAATGTACAAATCAAGAGAAATTACGATAGATACAACACAAGAGCTTGTAGTAAAGCCAAACTAAACACTTTAACAGAAATCTTTTGAAAAATGTTTTTCCCCTCCCCATCCCAAAAGAAACCACTCAAAAAGAAACAAGAAACTAATCTTTTAGGATGAAAAGAAGTACAACAAAGAGTTGCATCTCCTACTTAGGTAAGCAAAACCTGCAGCTGATTTCTAGACATCTATTGCTGCAGGCTCATCAGGTTCCAGTTTATAGGAGAATCGTCTGCAGCAAAGGCTACTGAGAGAAATGCCACACCTGTTGACCCGGGTTGGGCTACATCTTCCCATTAGTCGTTCCAGCATTCTTCTAACAGATGTGCATGCTGTTTCCCCATCTGAGAAGCAGCACATGGAGTCCAAGCAGTTGATACCTGAACCTGCCTCAGTAAGCTGGAAGGAAGGAATAAAAAAACAACAAAACAAAACAAAAAAACAAATAAAAAAAAATCAGTACTCACAAATTCTAGCAATGAAGATGTTATCAGAAAACACTTAGGAAAAGCAGATTTTCTTAAAGTTAGAGTGTTGAATATTTTTCAATTTTATAGGAGAACTACAATGAGGAATAATATTCCCGTGCCCCGAGGCCTATATACACTAAAATTTGATCTTTCTAAGGTTTGTTTGCAGCCTTGGTGAGCTCATGGAAATGGTTTAACACCACATCTGCCTAAAGCTGGAAATGAACTGGTTAGGAATTCTCTGTGTTCCAGCTCTAACAAACCCCACAGCAGAGCACATGCAGTTTCAGCTGGGATTCACCTCAGTGGCCAGACAACAATTTATACAAGCTCAGCTCTGTCCTACTTTGAGGGAAATCAAGAGAAAGCTTCAGGTTGGGGCTGCAGAATACAATGCAGCAACCTGATCCTATGTAATATTTTTTCCTCAAGAAGTGTGGAATGCAACTTCCTACAATAATTTACAGATTTTCACTACCATAGATACCCTTGGCTTGGTACAGAACAAAAGCACATTCCTGATTTTACACACATTGTTTATCCAAATGCAAACAAGGCTAATGTCAGAAAGGTTCAGTCATGTTCATGCCAACACAAAGAATAATTCAATATTAGCACAATAAACTTTCAACAGCTGATTTTCTGTAGGTGAGAAAAAAAAGCAATAGAAAGAATAAAGGGGAAAAAAAAAAGGCAGTAAGAGAGATGTATGGGTGTAAGTGCCACCTACCAGTGTGCTCCTTTACAGCACTGCTGCACACCAGACAACTGCAGCAACCTGAAATCTCCCTGAAATCTGGCATTTCTAGAGAGAAGAGCCTAAACTGACTCCAGTAACCTTTCCAAAAGGAAATAAAAATGTGAATGTGGAGTGTGGGGATGCTTTTTAATTTAATTTGAAACTCTCCATGAGGGCATCCTGTCAAACAAATATTGAACACACAGACTTAAGCATCCATTATCCTGTCCTCACATCACTGAATGAAGATTCTGGGAGGAGGCATCTTAGTCTGTGATAGGACACAGTTCACTTAAGAGTTTCCCACAACTTTTCACAGCGTGACCAAAGGTCACTGACTGTTGTCTGAACTCTGGTTTCCAACCCCAATTTTTTGCACAACACTCACACTTGGTGAACACTGCAACAAAAGCAAAGAACCTCAGAATTCCCTGTGGGAATGGTTTACTGTGAGTGGACACAGTCCTTCCTAATCCCCAAAATAGGCAGCCAGACACATTTACAGCTTCATAACAGAACAATTCCCACACAGCAAAGAAGAGGCAGCAACAGAAATGAGGCATTTGGAAATCCAAGAGAAAAGTCCCAATTGGTAGGGCAAGGAGGGAACACTGGTATTTCCCTGCATCTTTTTTCTCCATGTCTGTCCCTTCCTCAGCTCTGTGCCACATTCCCCATGGTCCCTCCAGACCCTCCCATCACTCTGCTCAATGTGATGCTCACAGGACTGTCAGTCAACAGTTGTCTGAACATACAGAAAGCTCTAAAAACTGGAACCCTGGATTCTGTGGATGCTGCACCTGGGAGGCCATGGATGAGCACAGGCAGAACACACACTAACTCACACTCATTTAGGAGGTCTTGGGGACACAAAAGGAACATTTATTATGACAATGAACTCCTGAGAGATAGGAGCAGAAGCACTGCAACCCACAGGTCTAAAAGGGGTTCTGGTTAAAACACAAACAGAACAAAACACACCTCAAGAGAGCCTGAGTCCCTGAACACCCTCATTTGATGGCCATCACATCTGGTCACAACTGCACTTTCACAGAAAATCAGGAATGGCACAATTTGCAGCACTGCAGTACCAGCAAATATGACCTTCACAGTCACATCAGACTGTGCTCACAGAGTTATCAGACAAGGAATTACACAGAGCAGAAGGAACTCCTGTTTGGAGGTCAGCAGACAAGCTCCCTGCTGCACATGGCAGTGATCTTCACAGCTGTGTTCACAACAGTAACTCCCAGCATTCCTACACTTAGGATTTCAAAAAGAATATTTAGTCCATCCATTATCCTGAAGCAGAACAAGTTAACACCTTTAAAGTTACTTCGAAAGGTCACATTACAGAGGTTTTACGTAGGATCAGATGAACTAGACAATTTTCTTCCCTAGAATCTGCTGAGAGCTAGCAGTCCTACATATTGTTCAAAGACTGTGAGAAAGAAGAACCAAGAGTAACCCAAACTTGCTTCTAAAGAGTGAAGCCTCAGCTCTGATTTTGGAGGGCTGCTTTATTCTTCACTAGTTAGACACAGAAAACTAGGACCATGCTTGAACTACGATTTATGGAACCATTAATATAATTTAAAAAAAACCCAACAACAGCATATGTGACCTTACATAAGCCTGGAAACAGCACTTCTGTTTCATCAGCTTCAGAGTTCAGTGTAAAGTAACACTGGGTGAGTTCCTGCCTGGTGAACACAGATTTTTATATTTATATCCACTACCTGGAAGGAAGATACACACGAATCCCTCTTCTCACTTTTCTCCCTGTGGAGGACAATTATCACCATAGTTTTATACCACAGTAAAACTTGGCATGGCAAGGCAGTAATGTTCTCTGAAAATCTAATACACACCCTTTGGAAACACAAGGCAGGAGAGACAATGCTTAAAAAAAAAAAAAAAGTATAGAGAAATACAAGATATTATTAATAACTGGGCTGCAAATAAAGTATTTTCATAAGGTAAGATCCGGGATCTCAATAAACATAATACTTTATATGATAATGGCCCGTTCGATGTAATAAATCAAAAAGCAACTGAAGTGCAGAATGATTCAGCTTGATGAAAGAAAAAAGAAAATCATACTATGATGCAAATTTTCTTATGGATGCCAAAAATATGGGTATTTTGGAATGGCTCCATGACTGTCTGTATATGAGATATGTAAATATATATACACACACATTAGGGTAGAGTGGGAGTACTACCTAGTGACCGTAAGGACTGTCGGGCAGGCTAGGTGGCTCTAGCAGTTGCCTATTGTCCTCCCCTCTGTGCCTGCCTTCAGCAAAGTCACCTGCTGAGCTGACTGAACCCTTATCTTCTTCCATCTAGAAGGACAGAAAAGCAACAAATCTTATAAAGCACCACGCTGGCATTGCTTTAAAACAGTTACCATTGGCATATGAACTTGCATTTCCCAGATCTGCTCTCGAGAGAACAAGGCATGTTTACAAGGTAAAGAGGCAATTTCTTCACGTCAATCCGTGGATCAGACGCGGTTTGTCAGTGCACAAATATCAGAAGTGTTTGGTCTCTCTGTGCACCACAGAGTACGAAAGGGGGAAACCCAACAAATTTGAAATCTGTTTCAAATTTTCAGATTTTGCACTTTTATTTGTTTTCCCCCTTCTAACAGAAAGGACCATTTCAGTTTGTTTGCCTTATTACAGGTTATTTTACGTGCCACAAGATGGACATTTCAACTCAGAGTTAATCACACTGAGATATGCAGTTGGGACTTTGTGGAACAGGAAATGTATTTAATCCTGTACACCAAGTTAGGAGCACTGCAGCATATCTTACCAAGCCCAGGTCTTGCTGCCAACATCTGATGCCACATGGACATTTCAGAAAATATATGAAATGATTATTACTATTCCACAGCTAAGTTACAACTTGCTCCCTACTGTAAAGCTCACTGTCCTTAACCCTTAATATACTGTATAACAAAATCCCAAACAATTAGCTTTAAAATTTTAAAATATAAGAATATTCACATCTAACAACTTGCCTGGCACTTATGTTTTCAATACTTCTCTAGTTTTTCTACTCTTTGTCTCTTTGAATCAAATAAACCTACAAATGCCAAATTATTTCACTATTTCAAAGTCATCAGACAAAAGTATCTTCAGGTAAGTAATATGTGCACTTTTGTGACTGAAGACAAATACAAATGGTACATTTTTTTCTCATTTATTCCCTCCTCCTGTGATAGACTCTATGGATTAGCTAATGGATCAGCACAAAAGTATGCTAACAAAATGTACAGACCTGTAAAGGAAGAGATTACCCCTGATCAAATTTTAGCATATTTAGGTGTCCTAGTACACCTCACTAGTGTGCTTACACTTGGATAGTCCTCTTGGGAATTTCATGTTCCTTACAGAAAACATGCTGTAAAAGGAACAGAGACCTGTCTGCTCTCAACTTGACAGAGTTGGGCTGGGTCAGATCTGAAAGCTGTCAGGAGGAGAATCCTATGAAACAGGAACTAGAATTAAAAATACAAACAAGTAATGAAGGGCTTAAAGCCAGGGCCAGGAGCCTGGAGTTCTGGAGACAGAGCAGATCTGGACAGAGATGAAGGGAAAACCAGGTAACAACAGACTCATGGGCCTGTAGATGGTCAATGAACAGGGCTTGGCTGTGATGAGGCACATGCTACAGTCAGAGTCCCGGATATACCATTATGCACTGACAGCCTTCTCTGTAAATTGACCCCTTTCTTGTGTTTGACATTTCCCTGTAGCTCATAACACACTGTCCAGAGGTAAAAACTCTATAAACACAATTAATCCCATCAGCAAGCAGAAGTAAAACATCTGTCCGAGCAACACTTCTCACATGTGGCTTAAGATTTCTGACAGTTCTTAGAAAGCAAAGAGACATGTAGACATACATGCAGACACAAAACTTTATTTACAAATAAAAAAATGGAATGAGATACAATGGGGCCCAGTAAGTCCCCTAAGATACATATTTCACACATTCTAAGAACAGGAGAGACAGCTATGGAGGAAAGCAGTGCTCAGCCAGACTCCAGCTGAGGAAAACACCTGCACCTGAGCTCTGCTGCCTCATTTCCTTTTCATCCCAAGTTACAAAAGTGATAATAAAGTTCAGAGGCGAAAGTTTAACACACAAGACTGCAATTCTGACTCACAGGAATCACATGGACACTTAGAAGACTCCCTTCAAAACTTCTAACTCTACATCACAAATGTATTCAATACAAACTTGAACATTTTTTGCACACTGTGAAGCCTATAGACATAAAAAAAATATTATAACATCATACTTGTCTTTTAATTTGCATTCATAAAGGGATTTTTTTTTGTATCTCAACAGAACAGTAAGCACATTGGCAGAACAAGGCGTAACTCGGTTTAACCTGGAGTTATGGTCCTTTTGAGGATTTTAATACATATTTACAAACAGAAAACTGCCAAAGTCTGTTCATCAACCCACATGCATTCTGCATCACAAAGGATGCGATTACTGGGTGGGCACGTACAAATGAGGTGTGACAGATTAGCTGCTCACAGCCACATATTCACTGAGCAGCTGTTTTGTTTCCTGCTCCTACAGTTTTCCTTGCTTTTTCTGCCCTACTGCTTCAGGAAAATAGCTGCCCTTGACACCACAGAAACTAACCCGTGGTCTTCACTCAAAATAGGCTTTATTTAGTATAGTGAAGTGAGCAGTTTCTGTCTACTAACTGATCTTCCTTTTTTACTATTTTAGGTAAGGATCCACAGGATTACTTCTGAACTTTGTCCAAAGACAGAATAAAGAAATAGAGAAACTCAAATCCTTTTTGTTTCCTGTTGCACTTTACACATTCAGTTCCATAGTATAAGGCACTCAGTGCTTGTATTTCAGGTATTATTAGATGCTCAAGTGTAAAAAATCTGAGAACGGGATTTGTATAATCATCTGTTACTCACAGACAAAACAAATTTCCCATTTTTTTTCAACCCCTTCCCTAAGTGTAATATGAAGAAAATCATCTCAAGTTAGCAAGAATTCTCCTGGTTTTAGCCTTATAGTAACTACAGGGCTGCACTCCTAGACAGCTTTATTTTTCTTTGACTATCCAGTTGCATAACCCTTAAAATGTGTTTAGTTTTGGAAAGTTTAACAGAATCTTCTGTTACAAAACCTTTGGTGTAGATATGATGCGCCATGTAATTCACTCTAATAATTCACTGAGAAAACAGAGACTTACTGGAAATGTATTTGTCCAAAGTAACATATTTAGCTGACGCTGATAAACCAAGAAATTTAAAAGCTAACTTGTAAAGGCTTTTGCAGAGCAATTCTCCAACGCAGTTATTAAGTTTACTAACGTTAAATCATTTACTAACATACAGCACTTTGCCTGTTTTAATAGTGCTGAATTAAAAACAAAACCAAACTAAAGCAGCCCACCACTACCTCCCTGGGTGTTTGGAAATCCAAGGTGATGTGTTTCAGAGTGGGGCCACTAACAGCCAAACACAATGGCCATTTCAAGTTTTGCCTTGTAAAGATGTAGTGCACTCTCAGAGGAAATACAAAACTCTTCTCTTTTGGTTAAATAAACGGCAATTAAGTCCCAAAAATGTAGGTTGGTTGGTTCTTCTAGCACCTATTTGCACATTTTTAACAACAAAGTCATCTTAAAAAATATTTAAAAGTAACCAGATCTTTGCCTTAATTCTTGCTGGAATATAGAAGTAGATAATGATAGGAATGAATAGGTTGAGACGTTGCTGATGCATATGAATGCTTAAGTCTTACAAAAGAGAATCAGCATTTGACAGCATTTCATGTGCTGAAGTCGGTGCATTTGAAGAGTTTCAGAATCACGTTTTACCTACACAGACACATGTATACTTTGATCTTTTTTTGAATAATTTTCTGGGACTTTGTAGCCAAATGCCTTTAGGAATATGTATCTACACACATTGAAAACAAACAACACTCACTTTATAGCTGCACAAAACAAACACAAAAAGCCTTAGCTGCACAAGGGTATGTAAGCACCCAAGCTTAAAACATTTTCCGCTCTTTCAACACAACTGAAAAGCAAATTAAAATGGGACAAATAACTCGCAAGAAACTGCTGCCTGAAATACATGGATTTTCCTGTCACGGCCTCATGAAGCTGAAATTATCCAGCATGCAAAAAGCACTGTTAATTTTTACCATAAAGAAATCAAAAGCATTATAACCATGCTAGAAACTATGATTATTTAACAATGGATGCACGAACAGCTAGATCTGTATTCTGAAAGTTGAGCATCATGCTAGGGATGTTTTTTCCTACAAAGAAAAAGCACGTCCAACACATGCTACTTAGGAGAAGCATTTGGCTCAAAAAACACAGAGCAAAGCCAAGAAATAACCAAACTGAATGTTTCTGCACTACAGGTATTGCCCTCTCAACCCACTAATATTCATGCCTCTTCCCATCTCTCTCAGCACTGGTTAGTTCACCTTCAGCATGCATAAGAGTTGATGAGGAACTGTCCCTCCTACTCTACCTAATTTTGCTCAGCTGATTCCTTGCCCTGGACAATGGCTGCAGTGCGATGAACTCGTCACTTAAAGCAACTCTGTTGGAGTACATCTACAATTGGACAGAGAAGGGATGGAACATACATGTCAGTAAGTAGCAGCAGTAATTTTCTAAGAGAAAGACACAGGACAACACATTGTTATTTAAGTGGAATACACATCATATACAGAACACAAGCCTGGTACCTTCAAGACAGCTCCTGGGATAATCACAGCCAGTTACTGTTTGGTAGGACCAATCTTAATGTACTTGTGCTTTCAATACTGAGAAAAAAGGCCTATAGACTTCTACATCTGTGCTTTATTCTGCATTACTTTCTTCCCTCAATAGTGCTGTGATTTATATTTACCCAAAGATTTATATTTTGATTCACATTTACCTTGCTGTCCATTTCCCCCTATATGATTCTGTAACAGACTTACAGTGAGAAATTGCCCATAAGCTACTTTAGGGCAACTGACCTCAGACAAACACAAGATGGCTTTTCTTTAGGTCAGCAAAAGCCCCTTGGAACACAGCAAAAATAAAATAAAGTAACACATTCACCTTAAGTGCATTAGGGAAGGTAAAGTTAACAAAATTCATCCCTCTATAATAATCAACTCATACTTGCCTATCAAATTTTTAATATGCTTATTTCCCAAAATGAAAGGGCGAGATATAAGTTGCTGTGACAGAACAACATTTACATTTAGAAGTTTATCAGGTGTTTCTCATATCAGTTACATTTCTTTGCTTTGTTATTAATAACTTTGCTACATGCAACATCTGACTGATCAGACAGACTGAATGTTGATGCTATGACCTTACACTAACAAAAAGATAAAATCAGGTTCCTTATATATTAAGTAGGGTAAGGCAGGTGCCTACAGATACAGCGAATTCAGAGCAGTAACTCTGGTAAGATGCACAACTAACATGTTCTTGGAATCTGAAAAATTAAAACAATAGAGGCAAGTGTTTCATTTTCAGCTGAGGAACCTGTGTTTGCAGAGTGCTCCTGGGAAGAGTTTAGAATTTAAATGATGGCAGGTAGAAACAAATAACTGAAATAGTTGCAATTTAAAACCAAGTGACTAGTTCAATAACAATTTATCTCACCATGATAAAAATGTAGTAACTGTAAACTTTTTCTTTCCCCCAATATGAAAATATACTAATTCAGTCCTGTAATTTAAAATAATTAAAAATATTCAGCTAGACACAGGATGCATCTTCACTATGAAAAACAGCATTTAAGAAAGCAATACAAAAGTTTCATATTTACTCTTTTAATGACTCTTTTAGTTGCTCTTTGATGACTTCCACAGAAGTCATCAGCATCAGTCAGCACCCCTTGCATTTGGGACAAAGACATTCTCCAAACCCTTTCTATCTCAAAGTTAGAGCCTCTTCCTCTGCTTTGAAACTGAAATAAAAATATTTACTAGAAATTTTAAACACATATAATGAAGAAGCACAAATGTTGTCAAGAAGGGAAAGAATGCTAAGTTGATCATCTGCTCCTCTTCACTTATTTGTACTTTCTCACTTCAAGAATAGAAAATGAAATTCAATGGAGCTGATTGTCCCATTAAAAGTCAGAGTGGGAAAATCTCAAAAGATTAAACCTTGAGAAGGGAACAAAGAGGTGTTTTCTTGTCATAAATACATTTTTAACTGTGATTTCACTATCAGACACACACAGAGAAACTAGTGGATGGCTGCTGAAGAATTTCTGGTCAAATCAGATTGCAGCATCAGGAATTAAGAGTTTTCAGAAAAAAAGACAGTATTTTGGTAAACATACACCCTACAGCTGACTCTGTCAAATGCAACTTAGAAAGGGAGTAAGAAAAAAACCAAACAAAGAAACCCCCAACCAACCAAACCTAATGGAGATGCACAAAGCAAAATCCCCATGGCTAGGAATCAAGCTGTAGCCGCAGGAAAGATGTTAGACATTCATCAAGATCCCTTTTTAAAAATAAGAAGTCCTACTGTGTCCTTGACAACACAACTGCAATGGAAGTAAACTGAACCTAGAAATTCTTTAGAATTGATTCAGAAAGCAAAAGAATGCAGCAAGAAGTATAGGGATAAAGGCAGGGAAAAATCGTGGCTTTTTGGGTTTTAACTCAAGCACTTCAGGAACATGAGAAACCTCAACAACCACACTGATACAAAGCCAAACAGCAACAGCTGATGCACAGGAAGGAAGGAAAAGGAAGTGTTTGATAAATATTGCCACTAGTTTCTCAAGAAGAAAAGACAGGTAAGTATCATTACCTATCACATTTTTCCTAAATCAAGACCCTTTAATCCAAGAAGTGCAATAGTTTGCAATCCAGAGTCTTATCAAGCTTAACTCAAAAGTCTTCTGAAAGCTAGTGGTTACTTACCTTGACTTTTAGCTACTAAATTCCGAGACAGAAAAAAGCAGCTAATATTCCAGTTTTGAAAAGGGAATAATGGGATATTTTGGACAGCAATAGGCTTGTCAGGATGATGTTGATCTGAGGCAAAGTAAGAGAATGTTTCACATGGATTTTTTTTAAACACACAAATTAGAAGTGTAATATAATTTAAGTAAATCAACATGCACTTACATCAAAGTAATTACAAGGTTAGATGCTAAAGATAACAGCACTGATGTAATGCAGTCGGGCTTCCGCATGGCACAGAGCTCAGAGTAATTTGGATTAAGCAACTAGGACACCACAAAATCAATCTGGCACACAGATGGACTAAAAGCTGCTGAGAGGTTTCAGACCATAGCTGTGTATGGAATATCTTTGTCAATTGGGTTCTTCATTCACTGCCATTGTTTTTTTGCCCTGTGCTGTTTGACCTCTCATCAACGACCTGTAAGAAACCAACAGCAGCACTTGCAGATGAGTAGAAGATGCAGAAGACAACAGGTTATTGATGTATATTATTCTGTAAACTGAATACAGCTGGAGGATTCATTATTTCCATACTTGGCACTGATGTCTGCTGTGCTGGAACATGCTGTCCACTGGCGAAATCCAAAAATCAAGATGAGGTTGAGAATGTTGAAGATTACAAGAGAAACACAAGAATCATGAACAGACTGTAAAACAACCTTTTTGACAAAAGATGCAAGTCCAGTCTACCTATTAGTGTGAAAATGAACAAACCTAACTGATCACAAACTAACCTTGATCACAAACCTAACTGTGAATAAACAAAACACTGTAACAGAAGGCTTCTCAGTTTAGCAGAAAAAGTCTAAAAAGATGAGATGGTGGAAACTGAAACCAGAGAAAGAGTTACTATGAGGACAATGGGTCAGGATGACTTCTCCCTAACTGTCACTAAAAAGAAGACAACACTCAGAGATGAGATATTTACCTAAAAGACAGCCTAATTTCAACAGAATGATTTAAAGGATTCTTTGTAGCCCATGTCAGGCAAAAGAGAGATTCTATTATCACAGCACATCTCTAGACCTTGTCTATGAACCTGTGGAACTGCCACATGGGTAATTAGCTTTAATTACAGGATCAACAATCAAATATATAGCATATAATAGGATCGAGATTTAAGAAATACTAATTAAAAAAATCCTACTAAAGTAATTTTTAAAATTGTTTCCATCACATTTTAAGAACTATTCCATACTAATTACAGTTGCAGCTTCTAATACCTAGACAAAAATGAGAATAAGTTACTGTCTTTAACACAGGACAAATATGTGCAGTATGATCCTCTCATACAGCTGCAAGTTGAGAGGTAAAAGGCTGAGTGACCTCTTCATATATAATTCTGCTCTTCTTATTATCAAATACTTAAACATAAACATTACTGCCTTGTGAAATAGTGTCCTCCCTTTTGTAATTTTAAATTAACAACTGTATTCTGAAATGAGAACACTTCTATGCATTAAACACGACAGCAATGTAAGAGGATAACTATTGGTCAAAGTTGGATACAAAAGCATAGTATTACCTGAGCTTTTTCAGTACTTGTTGGTTGCAGATGTCTGTACAGCACTTTCTTCACAACATCAATAAACAAACAAGCAACTACTATGAGGATTATGGCAAACCAAGCAGAACCACTTGACAACAGTTGAACAAATACAAAGTACATGTCCTGGGTATGTAAAAATGGCCTGAAAAGTTAAAAGAAGTGGCAGTTACTAAAAGGAACTTCTAGAAACAAAAGTACAGCACAGGCTGTCTCAAGTGTATCTATTTCACATCAGGCATTGAGTCTCTCAGGATGCAGAGTCACAACTGATGGTGCCCATGTACAAGTCTAGCAACATGTTGGACCTGACCTGCAAAGAAACTCTGGGGAGGGAGGGTACTTAACTTTGGAGGGAAAGGTTCTGATTTAGTTTTAAATTGTGTTGCAGTAAATAAACCATCATCCTATCCCCCCAGGACCCCAAAAATACAAAGCAAAATACCCCCCTTCACTGATTCAAACCCAGCATCTTCATTTCTGTTGCAAATATTTACCTATTACATAGCACCTCTGGGAACCTATCTACTTCTTATGAGCAAAAATGCCTTCATAGTCACAGGCTGACAGAGACAAGCCCTGTCTGTCCTTGAGCACAGGACAGTGTAGCAGCACTGCTCAAATTTTTAAAAGGATCACCAAAAGAAAGTGGCTGCTCTAGGTTTAATTTTTTTTTTTTTTAAAAACCTGTCGTAAAATTCAGAGCATGATGGTACAAGATAATCCTACAGTGTTTTTTCATAGTTTCATTGATCTTATGTGCTATAGAAAGGGGAAAAAAAAGAATCACTCACCAGATAATTCCCCCATAAAACAAGGAGAATATGAAATAAAATACAATGGATCCCCAAGTAACAAAATGGTTTATCCATGTCCAGAAGTGAGTTTCTAGTGCCATCTGAAACAGAGATAATGTCAGTGAGCTTCCTTTTTTCACCAGCTTCACAGAAAATTATAAATACCAGTCTGAACATACTTATGAACTTCCAGCCCAAACACTAAACATTGTTGTGACACACAAAAACTAGAGAAACATTTCAACCACCACTGAAACTAAATGTAGAAGTCACTTGTCTGGAACCCCCAAGAATCAATTACTTCTGTATAACTTTTGAATCAATTTTAAATTATTGCTTTATTACATATTTGCCTATATTTCCAAACACAGAGAGTGGTCTGTGCAATGTCATACCTTCATTGTGACAGTTATAACCATAACGGTGAAGACCAAAGTACCAAATGTCCAGTTTCCAAACATCTAAGAAAAGGGCAAGGAAAAATCATGGAAGATAAAAAAAATCAATTAAGAGCGTTCCCAGTAAGTAAGTTAAGATTCTTCTCAAATCAACTACACTAAAGAAATTAGTCTGTGGACATAAGCTTGTGACAAGTAATCATCATGAAAAAGCAAGGAGGATACAACACAAACTACTAGGAAAATAATACAGCTTATGATAAGAGCAAAATTAACAACCCAGAAGTCATCTTTCTTATTGGTTCAAAATAAATCACCACAAAGGCTACATGAAATATGAAAAGAGTTCAAAATAGTAATATGAAATGATAGGAAGATGAAGATATCAATTTGATCAGTTTTGATAAGCATCCAATAGAAAGGAAATACTGGGTGGAAGGTATTCATTTTCACATAAGTGCAAAACACTTTTGAGTTTAAACATTTTCAGATAATTTCCAACATGCAGCATCACCTGAAGGTTCACTTTTTACCCCAAGCACAATTTTACAATTCAAAAATAATGGTGCCATTGCATTTTACAAAGAAAATTGTAAGGAAAAGACACTTTGTTTCAAGGCTAATAAACCCAAAAATAAGCTCACATTCTAAAACACTTAATCTGTCACTTTTGTATTCTCCTGTGCATGAAAATTAAACTATCAAAACTCTGAACAAGGTCTACAACAATAAAATCTCAGCTCTGACAACCAAGCAGGGATGCTGAGGTTGTATCTATCTACACACATGCTGCTCACACAGAGCTGCCACTCTACAACAGGTCCAACTGCTCTGCTCCTGGAAGCAGGCTGGGTGCTGAAACAGAAAATGTTGCTATTTTGCAGCTATTTTTGCCACTGACAAACTGAACAACGACCAAATCCTCAACTTTGAATTTCCTGGTAGCAGATTAAGCAAGCAAGGAGGAAGGTACCACATGCAGACAGGCAGAGTCATCCTACAGTTGATGTGTCAGTACGGCACAGAGGCACGGAACTGGGATTCACACAGTTGTAGTTCTTGTTACAGAGCTCTGACAGAAAAATCCCAACAGCCTGATGACGGATCTCACAACTGCTTTTCTTGTCTATACACTAAGCAAAAATTGAGGCAGCCATGAGTCTGCATTTACTGATAATTTTAAAGATCTCTGTTACAACACGTCTTCTGAAGCCTTCGATTTACTTGTCATGACGTGCTGGTTGTTAACTGCTGCAATAGTAACCTTAAAAGTGAAATTAAACTGCTCCTGAGTGACCTGTGAAAGAAAGTGTCTTTGCTAACACTGCTCTCAATAGTCACAGAGTTAGAACACAAAACACAAACGGGTTCTTGCCACCATTTTATTTTTGAACACGTTTACATTGCGGATGCTGCATCCTTTAATCCTATGAAGTAACAGATACAATATTTTGTATCTCCTCCTCTTCTAAACTCTTACCATTTGCCTGTTAGGTTTCAATATCTGACGACATGCACAGCATGAAAAAGGGGGGAGAAAAAAGAACTAAAAGATCAAGTAGTTGCACAATGGGTTGAGGTAAGCCTAACAAACACCAGGATTAACAAATTATTTACAGTCTCCTCTATTCTGCTGTGCTCCAAACCATGAACCTGGAACGGAAATGTGAGGCCTTGCACTAACACTACCCTGTATCACAGATTTGCACAGGTGACCACTTCTTGAGGACTTCATACTCTAGCAGCACACTAGGTTCTCTTGCCCTTAATTTTGGCTTTTTCACTCACACGTTAAATTTGCAAGAAACTTTAAGCACTGCAGATATCTCACTGCAACACACAGCTCTACCAGTTCCAATAACCACCTTTTAGCAAACACAGAAGGCACAGTAACAAAAAACCCACAGCCTCAGAATTTATCTGAAGTCCTATCACGAGAAGCCAAAGGGCATCTGTCAATTCCCCAAACTAAACAGTTGTTACTAAATACAACGGAGGAAGTCTGTTCCTGCCTTGTGGACATTTACTAAGAAATTCAGAAGTGACGTGCTTTGACAAGTTAAGATGGATGCACCAAGACACACTGATTCATAGTCTAAAATTACCTCGTTAGAAGGGTTCTGAAGGACCTTTACCAATTCACAAGAATTTCAAATTGCACAGCTTGTAACAAATGGCAAGAGATGTCACACTCGTACCTCAGCTGGAAGAGACATTTTAGTCTCAGCACAACTATTTTAATGTTCTTATCCAACACCTCAAATGGAATAGGTGCTCCAGCTGCACCACTCCACTGCTCCTCTTTCTGCAGGGATGCTCAGAACCGCCAGCTTTCTGATTTTAGTTCTCAAGACAACTCTGTCTATTGTCTGTAGATCACTACATTTTTAACTAAACTTCCTGAGCTCCCTGTCACCAGGTGACCACTGTGAATTCAGCATGATGCTATTTCTGTACCTTGTGCCATAATCTGCAACTCTGCCAAGCACTACATGAGAATCAGCAAGTGCTCCATGCCAATATTAAGAATGGCATAATGAGAAGCAAATGTATTTTTCCATTACTACCCAAGTTTTACAAGGGAAAAATCAGTATCTAATTGTTCTAAACTGAGCTAAATAACTCAGAACCAGGGGAAATGAGGAAACAGACTTCTAATGGTTTCATCCAAGCTCTAGGGTTTTTTTCTGAATGATTCTTCCTGTGAACTTTAACATCTTTAAAATAAAGTGTCAAATTAGTATTTGATTATGTCATTAACTTATTGTCTTAAAAACATTTATTGAATAAAAAGTATAACTTAAAAGCAGCTTGCACCACTAAATTTAAAAAAAACCTGAGTAATATAATTAAAATAATACATTTTCAGGAGAAGCTTTAAGACTTTTGTCAACTTTCAGATTTAAGCCTAGCTTTGTAACAGCTACTAAAGAGAAGCCATTGCTTGACACTGCAATTAAGTCCAACTCAAAATGAGTTTTGAATGAATGGATATAAATACTCATTTACTGACATGAAATACAATTTTGACAAAAACAGTATACAAAATCAAACAAAGTCTAAGACAACCATGACACATTTATTATCTTGAAGGGTACGTTCTTCAGGGACATACACTTTCTGACAATGTCTTATAATTTCCACAATAAGAAATGTCATTCTTGAGAGCAGACACTAATATTGACAAAGACTCTTTGATAATTATGTAGTCCATAAAATTTTTTGGACACAAGAGGATTTTTTAAAAAAAATATTAAGAAATATCACCACAAATACAGTGGTATAATAATATTTATGATATTGTACCTGGCCATTTCCCAGCAGAGAAGTGTCTTCTCCCATTAGAAGATACGAGCCATAAAAGAAAACAAATGCATGAAAGAAGCCCAAGATGGTCCAGTAAAGAAATGGTTTAAACCCCAGATGGGCATTTTTACTGATGTCTCTGCAGAAATAAAACAGATTTTGGATTTCATACTGTCTTTGTATAAACCATGAGTTATTCACATGACATTAGTGCTACTGCTTTGAATAAATGTAACTTTCAACTGCAGCGAGACACATTTAACAAATGCTGACATACGAAAAAAATACATAAATCATGGGCAAAAAAAGGACTCTCAGCTCTCATGATCTGGATCTGATTTAAGCAGTGGTCACCAGTGGCAAGGGTCTCTAATGGGTCAAATTCAGAATAGCACAAACTAGAATTCTTGTCCCTGGAGGTGGAATTGCAAGGGGAAGAAAAAGTCAGATCTCCTGATACTTACCCCCTGTTCCGCTTAAAAGACCTTTACAACAAGAGAAACATCTGAGAGACATCTCTTTTTCACAAAAATAGATGCTTTTTTCCCCTCCAAAATGCACTATGCAGTGCAACATGTTGCCACTGGGAGGACATCTAATTCTACAAGAAATCACTTCTTTTCCCAGTAAAGGATTTTTTGTGGTGATTCCCGTAATCAGGTGTCCTAGTTTTTCATTTGCACGTCTGAGTCATTTTCACCTCCCACACGTAATGGAGGAGAAGGCTGCCAATCATGTGAGCTGACCAAGTGCTCAATGCTCTTACATTGGTAACATGACTGACATAAAAAGATCCTTCTCTTAGAATACTCCTGTTAATTAACATTTAGGATGAAAGCTACGTAGCTGCCGTTCTACCTCATCAAGACAGTTACTAAAAACGCCTAAGTCACAGATAAAATACTGCACAAATGTCTAATAGCAAGTTCAGAACTCTGCAGATGCCACTATTGCTGTACATGATGTGCTACTGTGAGAGTTCCTGTAAGATGCACGTACCTGTAGAGCACGGGTTTACTCTGCAATACATGCGGATGCACATGCTGCTCAAAAAGACTGTATATGAGGACAGGCAGGGAAGTGAAACAAATATTGTACAAAGTCAGGTATACACTGTCATAGAGCGTCTGGAAAGGAAAACAGAAATTATGTTGAGTCTTGTAAAGAAAAAAAGGTGCTTATGCACAGTAAGAGCAGCAACAAATCATTACTTATAGGAATTTACTTGTTAGGAAAAAACTGTACTCATAACCACCTAATAACATCGAGTTATCAAATACAGAAAATCAGCTGGATATATTTTAAGTGTAAATCTGTGCTGCTCCTGTGTAGTTATTTACTAATTTAGTTATATATTTATTAGTTATTTAATATTATTAATAATTAGTAATTATTTATCATTAATAATTAATATTAGTACATTCACCAAGATGTAAGGCATCCAATACTTACTTGTTGTGAAAACAAACAGAAGAACTGATATAAAAATTGTGGTGTAATAAAGCACACATTCTGAAATAAAGAAAAGTGAAGGAAACAGTTAATCCTTAGTATATTCCTCACAACTCTAAAAGAAACTGTTAACTCTTACAAGTTGGTAAAAATACACATGAAGACCATAAAGCATTTCAACATTTTACAGGGCCAAGTGAAGCAATATTCTTTACTTGACAGCACATTTTGTTTATTTGTCCTTTGGGACAATGAACCTGGAAAGCATAAACTTAATTATATCTGCCTGATGAACACATCTCACTATGGGAGTCTAAGTAGTATTAAAGGAGAAGAAATCCGTTCATTTTCCCCTCAGTTTCTTTTTAAGTATTTCCTTGCAAAATAGATTCCATATTTCATTCAAGAAAGCCATACCCTGCTCACAAGAGCTTGTTGCATGGGAGCAGACAAAGCAGAAACCAAAACCCAACAACATAATGTTGCCTTTAAAGGGAAGGGAACAACTGAAAAGAAAAAGTGGCGCGAATGCGTTTTTCTGTGAACTCCACTGGCACTCTTGGAAAACTCACCTTATAAAAAAAGTACTGTACAAGGGTTGCTATTCTAATATAGTAAAAGTGCCCATGAACAAAAAGCAACTTGGAGAGGAATTTAAACCGAGCTATTGCATAGTCACTGTTCCTTACAGCTTGTCTTCCTTCCTTGCCCATGATTCCTGTAATGTTTGGGAAACAAAACAGAAAACAGGTTAAGTATCACAAAAATTGAAGTATAAAACCCCAACAATGTACATCTGAAGCTACAGTTCTGTTTTCCTGCACTTCAACATTATAAAGACTTAAGCAACTTTGCTGCAATAGAAGGTATTGCTCCTCCCACTTACAACTAAGAGCAACTGCTCATTTGATGCTGATTCAAATTTAAAAAGCCTTTATTGCTTCAGACAGAAGAAAGTTACCTATGCCAACATGTGCTTCTTGTATCATGCTCACATCATTAGCACCATCACCTATTGCTAATGTTATGGGTTTCTCTGGAGACGTTTTTAACAGTCGCACTACCTGAAAAGAAAAAATTAAACATTTTAGATTAGACAGTCTACCCACAAACCATGTCATCAATTCCCAAGTATCTTACTCATTCCCTACCTGTAAATATAATTAATACATTTTATGAGCATGGATGCTTGGGTAAAAAACATCTTTGGCATATCACAAGCACAAATTCATTCCTTCTTTAGAAAAGCAGCTCGTTTGGGCACAAGACTTATTTAAGTATTATGCCTGTCTTCAACTTGTTCTTCTATTCTTATTTCAATATTCGGTTACATTGCTTAATTTGCTGCTTTATCATGTGAAACAGTCAAGTGAAAGTTGGAACTGAAAATTTACTTATGGAGTAATACAGATTTAATGCCCTTTACTAGACGTGTCTAGATTCTTCATATTTGTAATTAATGGAACTAATCCAGGTAAAATGCAGTAGCTAAAAGATCAATACTCTGTTATTAAAGAAAACAGATTCTTTTTAAAGCAACTTCATTATCACCAAGGGGTATTCTCAGTTGGAAAAGACACAGAAGGAGATAGGACAGAACAAGGAAAAAAACTGCTGACATACAAGGCTGTAAGATAATCAGAAAGAGGAGCAGTGAGACCCTGCTCTTTGCAGGAAGGAATCAGATCTTTAAGTAAATGCCAACACTATTCTAAATACAGAGGAGATAGTTAGATGAGGCTTTTGGTTAAGGAGAATTAGTAGTTCATTAACCTCCCAGAGAGCTCTAGCTTAAGGCAGAAGCTTCACTAATTCAGTTGTAAACAGGTTGCAGAGACAAAGGTAGGAATGCAGATCAAGAGGCTTTCCAAAAACAAGAAAATAAACACGTATGAAAAAATGTTTTCCCCCCTGAAGTTCCAGAAAGCCCAAGGTGGAAATATCAACAGAGAAACATTGGCACGAGGTAAGTAGACACAAAAACCTGTATTGGAATAATTGAGTTGTAGTTGGCAGTGACAGGGCACTGATTCACAGGAGCAGGAACTCACTTCACATGAGGAACGGAACAGTGACTAAATACAGTCCACAGCTCAGAGAAATCCACCTAACTGTGGGAATACATTTCCTAATTGCAGATATTAGTATGCAAGCTTAAAGGTTCCCCATTTTTAAGAGGTAATTACTTCAAGCACATTTAGCATTAGATCCTAGCAAGCAGCCCTACAGAAGTAACAAGGCCGCAGTGTGTCACCTGGATCAGTCCTCCTGAGATCCCCAAGGCTGGGGTAATTCAGACAGACAAAAATCTATGTGAAAAGGTCAAGACAAATCCCCTGGCAAATTTTAACAGCAGCAATCAGCAGCAGCTCTGAATGACTGACATGATGATGTTTAAAAAGGTTTTCAAGCTATAGAACATGCCAGAATTAGTAGTGAGACTGCCAGACATCTATTAACACGCATTAAAGTTAGTAAAAGATGCAGGGAATATTAAGCTGAGTTCCAGCTTAACCTTGGAATAAGTCTCACAAAAAGGATGCCTACAGCAAAAGATCATGTGCAAGGCTAGACTAAACTGCCCTGGACTTCCTTGCTTACCCTTCACGTTGTATGGCATTTGTCTCAGTGATTTATATACTTCAATGTTTAAAATTAAAATGTCACTGCCATCAAAATTACATTTTACTGTACTTCATGAGGAAAGACAGGAAATAATCTCCATTATCTGCTGGACAGGATAGGAATTATGGGAAGCAATACAAAGCAGTGTAAATCAAGTTAAATGACAAAATAAGAACAAGGACACAACAATGGCAAACAACTGTACCTTAAAGAGAGGGGATGGCAAAAATTTCAGCTAAAAGAATGGACAGAAGTGGACAAATGAAACAAACTGTTTTACTCATAGTAGTTACAATTTGCTTTTAACATTTTATTGAAACTAATATTATACCAGCTGAAGAGTTCTATACTGAAGGGATTCTAAAGACTGCATTAGAACTCTGATTAATTGTTGGAAGCAGGAAGAGTGACCTCAAAACAGGTCACTCGTGCTATAGTAAAACAGCCTGCCCTCTTTCGCACATCTAGTACCTCATATAAGGGTTTCCCAGTGCTTTAAGGTGAAGAGATGTCTTTTCCCAAAGAGAGAAAATTTCAAAAGAAAAGAATAAATATTCCAGTCCTTTACAGTTTAGCTTCCCAGACTGAAAAAAAAATAAATCACAAAATCTAAATTTTAATTCCATCCACCTTGTATTTGAGTAAAATTAAGTACATGTGAAGGAAAAATGGTCTTAGAAGAGCATGAAGGAAAACCTCCCCTGGACACTAGGCCTCTGCTTCTCTTCCCTTTTACTTTATCCTCAAACTTGGGTATATTTTTTAAAATACTCAGAGAAGCCCACTTCTTCCTTACAGGTCTGTGAACTTTCGATTTGGCTTTTTTTCTGGAGAAGTGATGTAGCAGGCAAGGTTAAAGCATGCAGGTGGCCAGGACAGCTGCTGCCTTACACAACACTCAAGAGGCAGATTTAAGATGAGCCTTTTGCTTGCACGGTGGCAGGATTTTGACTTTTCCATCCACTTGCAAATTTTCAAACACACATGTAAGAAACTTCTGAGCAAACTACTCCAGATCAACTGAATTTAACAGGGATTCAGACGTCAGGCAAACAAACAAAGCAGTTTCAGAAATCCTTGCCTCCTCAAAGCATGGTAAAAGTACTTTAAAGGCAAGCCTGATTATATTTGCACTTACCTTTGCTTTCTGAAGGGGTGCCATGCGACAGCACAACACTGCAGAACAGTTTTTGCAAACTTCCATGAACAGTTTTTCGTGTTCCCTGAGTGCAAGAGAGAGGCTGGTCCCATCCACAACCAGTCCATGTTGGATAACATGGTCTTCCTTTATTCTATTCAGGGATAAAAATGTTAACTTTGTACCACTGTCATAGAAAAATTTCAATTTGCTATAAACTCTGCTGCTGGCCAGACAGTGAGAAAAGAACTTAATCTGTTAGACAGACTGCTTCTTCAAGTCTGTTATTAATAATTTTTCTAAAAAGGTAACTTAATTTCTTTGGCACATTCATAAAAGAGATTGTCATAAAATTCGCAAATGAAAGAAAACCAAGCTAAGATCATCACTGAGATAGCGACATCTCAGGTACTTTACCTCTTGGCAAGCTGCCTCAGTTGTTCTGCACAGGTACTGTCTGACTTGTGCTGCACAAGCTCAAGGATGTTCATGGTTCTGTGGAAGTGTCCACAGGACAAACTGACACTAACAGCTGTCTCGTGCTTGTCTCCAGTGAGCACCCACACTTTGATACCAGCCAACCTGAGGGCTTCTATAGTTTCTTGGACTTTCTCCTGCAGTCTGGAAACAAGAAAAATCTCAAGTAACCAATAAAACACTTTACTAAGAAAGAGCTCACACTGTAACTCCATGTTACCACTGTAACCCCACTGCCATGACAAGTTAAGACTGCATTTCCAATGTCCCATGTACGGTCAGAGAATCACAGCCTGGCAGATGATACTCTGTTACCAGCAATAAAACAAAGGCCTTGATGAAACAAAAACTGAACTTAATCCTGCTAAGGGATCAAAAATTTGTCATAAGCATACCTTGATTTAAATTATTTACTGCAACTATTCCATTTCACATACAGGAAATCTCTCCTGATGAAACATTGTTATTAAGCCAAAATCACTTGGTACAACTTGTGTTTGGAATGCTCAATCCAAAGAGTGGTAAACATACTAAACAAGAATAGCACAAAACTTTTGATCACAGTGGGAGAGTTTTTCACACATTATATTTCAGGAGTAAATCCTAAACTCGCTGGGATTGACTGTAGTTAGCAGTAGCTCCATTGCATACTTGTCTTCTACTCCCGTAGCCCCAAGTAATTCCAGATCCCTTTCTATGAAGTTGAACACATCTGCTAATCTTTCCTCCCGTTGTTGTAAGGCAGTCCTGGCCTCATGAAGGCGTTTGCCAATTTCTTGATACTCCTCAGGTGTGAATCTTCTGTAGGCTACGCACAAAGTTCTTAGTCCTTTCTGTGAGAAAATAAAAGACTACATTCAGAGTAGACAAGATTCTGATCTAACAAGAAGGTGTCACCTGTAATTTGTTCACTTCAAGCTACAGAATTTATCCCAGATGAATTTTCTTCTGATCAGCTGGGCAAGCACATACACTTACCAAAGCAAATTCATCCACATGTATCCTTGTTTTGTCTATTTCTCCACTCTTACTACGAGGAAGAATGGAAGATTCTGCTCCTTTTGTGAATAAAAGCTTTTCCCCTACAAAGTAAAATAGAACAGAAATTAAGAATAATGTCATTTAACAAGTTCTCAGCTGCAGCTTTTACATTTTCTGATGACCTACCTGAGGGACTCTCCACAATGACACTCATTCGTCTGCGATTTGGATCAAACTCCAACACATGAAGCAATTTGTACCTGTATTTTGTGTTTTAATAAAAGAGGGAAGGGCAAGCAAACATTTTAGAAATAATTTTCCAAAGACAATTACTTATAAGCAGACTCTTACACCACAGACCTTTCCTCAACGTGTCATTTTAAACTCTAAAAGCAATGCTACCACTGATGAACAACAATCACTGCTATTAGTCATTGTGCAATTCATTGCTTTTCATCACTTTATGTATACTTTATTCCATTTTGTAAGAATAAAAGGCTCTACCAATAGGAATAGTTTCCTGAATACTAACTTGATACCTGGAGATTACAAGAAGCTCCTATTTCTTTATCCTTCTGTCATTATTTCAAGTGTAACTTTGAAAACTACATTCTGTTTCTAACATTTGTAAACAATTCACACTGTCAAAAAACAGTGTGTGGGCCCTGATAACTGGACTAGTTTTTTATGTTACCACTAGTGCAGAAAATAAATTTTAGACATTTAACTTTGAAGTACTGCCAACTGACACAGATAAAATGGGTAAAAGGAGTTATGACATACTGCAGATACACAGTTATCAATAACATTTCTACTCATTTTGTGAAAGTTTGAAATATATAATTAGATTATGCACAGATGAGAGTGATTCTGGAAACTTCTAGAGTTGAAAGCAAAAACTCTAGGACTTGAATAAGCAGTTCAGTTTTCCAGCTCTACTACAGTCTCAACCTTTGAGGAATGGGAAAAGATACAAACTGTTACAACACACACCTACACAGAGTAACTCACAAAATTCTTGCATCTCAGCTACTATTGGTAAGGAATAAGATGCAAGCTGTCTTGAAGACATCAAGGGAAAAGCATTAAATAGAGCACGCTGTGGAAAGGCAAGGTTTGCTTATGAACAGAGAGGATTAAGAAGAGAACTTTACATTAATCATCACTACTGTTCTGCCCTTCAAAATAAACAAGGAATAAAAAAAAAATACCTCTCTGGTTTTCCAAGGCTTTTTACTTCCATACTGTCTCCACTAATTCCAGTAAATACTACTCCAACCCTAAAAGGAAAAGTAAATAGACATTTAATTTCCACTTTAGACAAAATGCCTATTGATGTAGGAAGGGGAAGGTGGCAGATAAGAAAAAGAGAGATTCTTATACCCCATTACTGTTCTCTACTTCTAGAGAAAATTAAGAATGCTCACTTTCTGCAGTATTTTATTTGCAACACATTCTGACCACTATGATTTCCCAAGGATATCCATAAATATTTTAAATGATGACAGGACCCCTAGGGTTTTGTGTATTTTATATTTCCATGTTTTCCCAGTGAGCTGACAGTGCCAGGCCCTGGGCTTTACAAACATCCCGAGCAATTTTTACGGCTGCTTTCAGCCTGGACTGCCTGCCCCAGGAAGCAATTCCTGTGTTAGGCACTTGTGGCAGCACAGCTCACCGGCTTGCAGCTTCAACTAAAGCTTTCTCATCTGGTGAAGAAGCATAATACTCCAACGGGGACGTTATTCCATTGGCATGCCAGGGACCGTCAGCACCATCTGTCTGATCTGCATTGATCTGCACTGTATGACAAAGACAAACTGCCTTCAAGAACAGTTCTTCCTCTTTCACCTGTAAGACAGAAAAATCTTGGTTTTTAACATTTATGTAACAACCCAGTTTTGAATGCACTCAAAAAAAAAATGTTTTTACTTAAAAATCTGCCAAATATTTCATGTTAAATAATCTCATCTCAACATGTTTAATAAATATTATTTGTTCAGTAGCACTTAATAGCTTCAAACTATTCAGAAATTCTGATTTATGTTGGGTTTCATGACAGTGGTGCAAGAATATTTCTCTGAAATAAAAACCACTTTCTATCTAGGATGACTAATGGTGGGAAAATCAAAGTCTCTTACCAAACCATGCCTATTTCCATCTGGAGAATCTTCAGAAAATCCTTCTGGAGTTAGTTTACCATTGACCTCTTGGTACTTTATGCCATTAATGGAGCACTCCCGAAACTGCATCTCATTTTCAGTTAATGTACCAGTTTTGTCTGTAAACACATACTCTACCTTTTGTAAAATAAAAACAAAAAAACCAGACTTGGAATTGCATATACTTGTTAGAGGAAAAAAAATAAAATAATCTCAACTCACACTTTCTACTACACATGTTGTTTTGATCATGTAAGAATTTTAGCTTTTGCCATCACATGTCTAAATCTTATTTTAAAATTAATCAAAGCACAACCAATAAAAAGCCTGCAGTAATGAATTTTAATATTAAAAACTAGGTAGAAAATAGGTTAAAAAAAAAAAGAAACTATGTATTTTTTACTCTACCTGTCCCAATTCCTCATTGAGGTCTGAAGTATTTACTTGCGCTCTCTGATTTGTTTCTTCATGATAGAGGTCAAGATCCCAGCCAATAAAAAAAGATCCAAGAAATTTTTGCATCTCGACAGTCACATAGAGTGAAATAGGTATAATAAAATTGTAAAGTACCAGAAAGGCCAGAAAATCCGAAATAAATCTCAGGATCTAGAAGAGAAAAATTAAAAATGTGAAGATTACGACAGTCATCAGGTGAAACACAGTGACTTAATTGTGTTTCAATATGCATGAGGAATGACAAATTGAGAGAGCCAGAGAAGACCAAGTCCCACATCCACGAGAGAGAGACAACACACCCAGAGACAACGCAGGCATTCCCAGGTTGCCCCAGTAACACGCCTTCAGACTGATGCAAAAAGTCTGCCTTAAGCTATGACTGGATGTTTGACTTCTCAAGTTCATTAATCTTTGTCTATCTACTGAATCTGTCAGGAGGGCTGCCAATTAATATTAACTGTCAGGGTGATTCTATTTTCAAAGAGGGTCTGAAAAAAGTAATGTGTTCCCCATTCCAAACAGCATGACTCATTTAGGCTTATCTAAGGAACCATAAATTGTGAAGGCAAACAACTGATATTCCATGCTGTCAGAGGAATCTGCAAGGACTCTGTGTTGTTTTAGGACAGCAGAGAGACAAGAGGGCTCCTGTCTGCTGGCATTCCCCAGTGAGGTGGGTGATCTGGACTACATGACAAGGGACCATGTGGATTTCCATGGCACAGACTTCGTTTATGCCTCTTCAAATCACTGTGTTCAACACTTACAATTGAGGCAAATGCCTCCATAACAAGATAGAAACTTCTCTTTATTAGGTATGAAAATTTTAACAAACTCTGAAATGCAACACTACAGCCTCTCTGAAGTTTGTTTTTCATTTGGACAAACTCACTATCTGAATTGTACTTTGCGAAGACTCTTAACCCACCCTTGAATATTGAGCAAGGGAGATTAGAGATGAGAAAAAACACACCATCTCTTTCAACTCTACCAGATACTGGCGTAGAAGAACATTTTAAATAAACGGTAGATAAAAGTAGTGAACAGTTTGCAAAGCTAAATAATGTCTGTTCTTCCCAATTAGGGAGTGTTGCTATAATTACTCCACAGCTATTCTACCTTGCATAGCCAAAACTTCTACTTAAGCTTCTGAACTGCTTTGGACAAAGGTACACTCATAGAGAAATCAAAAATTATGCAGAAAGCAGAAAAATACAGAGTGATTAGAAAAAGAGATACTTCTCAGAATTGCAGATTTCAGGAATACTCCAAAGTATCCCTCCAACCTCTACAGAAAGTGAGAAGGGCAAGCAGGAGCTTGAGCAAAATTACAGCCTTGCAAAATTGCCTGAACCATCTCAACATCACAAAACGTACAAAATTCCTGAACTGTGAAATTACTGTAATAGGACACACAAAACAGCCATCCTCCTCCTCTTTTCATTTATGGAATGACAAAAGACACCCTAAAGAACAGTAACAAGAGCACAGAACATCAGAAATATGCCCTAACAAAGCCCAAAATTTTCAAAAAGCTTGGTCTTTCCATAAAGGAAAAAAAAGTCCAACCAGTAACAGAGCAGAGATATTCCTACACCATAGTGAGGCTACATAGGACCAACACTCTCAAAACCACTGAGAGAACAGCACAGAGACTTGGATCATGTGATACACCTATATCCAAGAACAGAGACATAATAAATAATACATTCAGTATCTTAATTGAGTATTCCCCAGATATGCAACTGGGTAAACTACATTACCTTACTGCTATTTCTTTCGTGCTCTGTTTTTTCATTGTACCAGGGTTCATCCCATTTCTCTTCAGCTTGCCATGCATACTTTAAAATAGTGCTCAGAATGGCTTCAAAGAGGAGGATTATTAGATAAATAATCAAAAAGGAATTCATGGACCTATAAAGAAGCAAAAAAAAGAAAAGCAGTTTCAGTTTATTTTACTCAATCTGTTGACACACTGTGGTTACAAGAATTAACTTACTGGACAGCACTTTAAAAAACATACCCTGTGCTTGACATGGATATAAATTTTCTATGTGACAAGCAAGTAACAGAATAGAAAAGAAATCCTACACCTTACTAAGATAAAATCTCTATATGGCAATATGAGGACTAGATTAAGGTGCAAGAACATCCCAACAGCTGACTTGTGTCGCACCTGCTGTCCAAGATTTTGGGGGCTGACTTATCCTTCTCTTCTTCCTTGAGTTTCTAGCAAGGCTGTGAAGGCAGTACAACCAACCACACTGGAAACCCAAGGCTGCACCTTTTCCTTCAGTTAAAAGAGCACTGCCATGTGCACCTGACTATTTAACCCAGGCCATGCTACACCAGGATACAGTCACATCTGTCTCTACATTCTGTCACATCAGACAGACCATCTTTCCACCCCTTGCTTTGATGACTGAACGTTCACACTCCAGTTCTGTCTGTATGCAGCTATAGAAGAATAATCAATCCCACGCTTGCCTAAGAATTCCAGGAGGCTCTCTCAGAGTTTTAGTAACTGCAATAAAGGCAACATAAATCAGAACTTTTCCCTTTAAAGTAAATCATAAAATTCAACATACAAATCTCTACTATAGTAACACCTATCCTGTAACCTTGAGCAAGCTTGGGTATTTCCACTTCATACACAACTAAAGAATCAATAAAGGATGAAATATTAAGAAATTAATTTTATCTTTACAGCTTCCTACCAAAGTTAAGGCAATCAACACACTCTTCCCTTGCCTAAAACCCAGTGAACCCAACAGGGTTTTAAAGTTACAGAGGAAAAACTAAATTAAAGCTCTATGAATAAGAGAGATATCAGAAAATAAACATACTTTTCTACTGCTGACCGTTTCTGAGATTTACTCTTGTAATTTAATGCCATCTTTGTCTCCATACCTGTATACACTGCAACACCTGGGAAGGAAGGGGGGGAAAGAGTTATAATTTACTTTCTGTATGTATAATTTGCAGAACTTTTCATTTTGAGAGACACAGGATAAAATCAAAAGGTGGTATTACTTTTGTGTTTACTTCAGTATGGTGATGAGACAGTATTTTGTAGGTATTTGCAATATTCTGCTATAGTAAAACAGTACTACTGAAGTAATTTTAACACCTACTTTAACACTGTTCATTATTATGACTGTACTGCTCAATATGTATTTTATGGAAATCAGAATGGTAAATCTCAGGAGAAAGTCTTGAACAATGGGTAGCAGTAAGAACAGTCATTTATCCACTGAAGTTAAGTTATTCCTTTATCAAACCACTTCAAATATTTTCACAGAACGGAGCTGGAACTTTATATCCTTAGAGATTCTTCAGTATAATATCATTACTTTCATCTATAATCATATCCCCTCAGGTAACAGGCAGCAAGGTTATTACAATTTCTTCAGTGCAAGTAGAATTAAAGCACAGTTCATAATCATGCTTTAAGAAGAGAATACTCTTTAAATATTTAGATGTCTACAAACCAAATATTTCTTTAGTGTTTTTTAATCTTGCTCCACGAAGTAAGAGACTTTCAGGCCCAAGAGGTCTAAAAAGAAATAGAAATATCAGCATTTAAAAATTAGTTGTTCTGTATTCTGTAAAACCAATGAAATCCAGTCTCCTATGCAAAGCTGTCCTATATTCCCTATGAACTCCCAATGCAGCAACTTCAACCCCATCCTCATTTAGGTCCATCTTCAATCATCTTACACGACTCACCCACACATCTCTACAGAGCTCTCTGTTTCATTTCATGTCTCCTTTGGACACTGCCATACTCTCCCACCACTGTTACATATCCCATAATTACTGATTGAGTTAAATATTCCAAATGGCTGGTTCAGAGAGACCTGCAAGTTACTCAGGAAGCAAGCAGGCAAAAAGCCAGTTGGGCTCACAGTACACCAGGAATGCTATTTTTAGGTTTGGCTAACTACCCATCTTACTTCTACCCCTCTGACAAACTGAAATGATCTAGAAAGTTGAAAATTTTTCATACCAAACAGAGACAAACAAGTAGATGGTCACACCACCACCACAGCAGTGCAAATTTTGCTTCCTAACACAGGAGTAAAAATTTCATAAATATTTTTTTCCTCACATCTATCACAACGCAATAATACATTCATTTCTTTAGCTAAGTTAACTCCAAACAGGGCTGGGACAATAAAGGTCTAATTGGAAACAAGGTCAATTTAAGGTTAGAGTCATATGTTCTACTCCAGCAGTTGTATCACCTTTAGAAACTATCAGCAGGGTTGGTGTGAAATTAAAAAAAAAATGCATTTTTGCCAGTGTTTCAAATGAAAGCAGAAATTTAACAACTGCAGTGGACAGGTTGACATACCAGGTATAAGCAAAAGAAGTAAAGTTCATATGCTAAGTGCTGGCACACAAGCCCTTGGGTTTGCCTTACTTTCCCTTTAGCTTTGCCACAAGCAGTCCGTGATCACTATTACATAAACAAAGCTCTTATACCTGAAGTTCCTTTGAAAGCATAACCTGGAGTTACTCAAAAAAAACCCCAAAAGCCAAATTCACAATCCACCTCCCACAGTTAAACATTTAACTTAATTAATTTAACTTAAATGTTACAGCAAATGTGACAGTTACCATCACAAATACCATGTGCACCAATTATACACAGATTACGGTGGGTTCTTTAAATTACACATACATATGTTAATGTTTTAGGTTAGACTCAAACTTCAACTGAAGAATTGAACTAAAAGGGACTAAATGCTCGAGCATTTAAACTTTTCATATAAGAAACATAATTTGTATTTCTGGATCCAAGTTTGTAAAACCAGTCTGACAAACCCAAAATAAAAAAGCTGAATCATTGCAATACAGTCTAGACAAGTTTATCTTTGAGAGACAGAAGATATATCTTTGCTAGAAGTCAGAACTTGCAATTTTTTTTCCACCCTCCCTTTAAACTGGCTCTGTTTTATGTTGTCAAATTATTTTGATAGATTATCCCAAAGCTGAACCTCTCAATCTTGAGAGTAATGGATCTTGAAAAGCTCAAAGTGAAGTATCACATAAAGTGACCTTAGAAAACAGCTGAGTGGGGTATTGGGGATGGTATGGGTGGTGTTTTTTCGGGGGGTGGTCAAGGGCACTGGACTTGTGGCCAAGTGACCTGCCTTCTACACCCCCATATTTCTTGCAAATACCATTTACAGATCCTTGATTCACTCTGAACTCCAGGTCACTCCTATCTAAAATTGACAAACGTTTGCAAACCTCAAAGGAGTCTCTCAGACTGAGACTTTCAGTCCTTCAGACTGAAGCACACATTACATGGAAAACAGCTCAAGCAGAAATTTCACAAAAAAAAAAAAGTGTAATAGATAATATTTTGGACTTTAGAAGAGAGAAAGAATCGTAACAGATTTACCTGTTTCTATGACAAATACACATCATAACACAGCACTTCACCTCTTCAGAAGAGGTGACAAGGTTTTTTGAAAGCGCGACTATTCACAACCCACATGATAAAATAATTAAATAACTTAAATGCTATCTATTCCTGAAAATCTGGCCATTTCTTGTGAGTGAGTTCTGTGTCTTTATTTCAAACCATGATCTTTCTCACTCCTGTTCTTCCTATTTTCCCTCCTGGTAAACAGGATCTGCTGTAGTTTACATAACACACCACTGGAAATTGTTTCAGATCAATAAATGCTTTAATTAACAACTAGCAACAAAGCTACCAGCTGATTACCAGAGCCTAAAAATTACCCATTTCGGAGCAGCCAAGCCTTTCAGAACCATTATATTACATCTGAAAAACTGGGTAGTAATGAACTTTCTTTCACTAATTTTCTCTCTTCTCCATCTGAAGTATTCAGCTATAACTGACAACTTTCAGTAAAAATACCCCTCCCTTTTACATATTCAACAGTAACTCTTATTTGTGATGGTTTTGACTTTAACCACCTTCATGTGTTCTAAATAACCATCTTAGAAAATTTGACTCACCGTACTATTTCTTCAGCTTGTTGACTTACAGTTATTCTTCCAACAAATCTAAGAGAGATGGGAACATTTTAGAAATATCTGCATAAAGACTCAAAAATGTAAAAAGTCTGTATTTACAAAAATGTCTTTAATGGTTCACAAGTACAAAATGGAACAATATGGAAACACTGGCACTAATTTTACAAGAGACATTTAACAACAGAAACATCCGTCAAAAGAACAGTCATCTGAGAAAGCCTATTAGGTTTCATTAACAACCACAAAAGATTATATTTCTACTCACTTAAAACAGATTGTGACTTTTTGATGATTCAGTAAGAAATAATTCCTCAACAAATGTAAGTTAGCATATTACCAAACAGAAATAGTATTTTTTCTTTCACTAAAACAAATCTAATCTGCATTTAAAATCTGACGTTTGCATATTTAGCATGACCTCAGCTACAAACAGGGACATAAACTTCCATAGCAATTGTACCTTAATTTGCTAAATATCAAATATCTGAACTGCTGCTCAAACTGAGTATCTTAGTTTTAATGAATTTAATATTTCTCAAAGATCCCAAAGTTTACTGAAGAACAGCTGTGACACTTGGATTTTAAAAACTACTACTTAATAGCTACCATTTTCCACTATACAATTCAGAAGAAACTTGGATGGGAATATAACTTTTGCTCCCCATGATGTCTACGACATTGATTGCTGATGTTAAAGAACACTCAGACATCCCTGTTTTTAATCTAAGGTTTTACTGTTGAAGAATGGAGTTCAGATCTTGAGCACATGCAAAATAAACATGGTCAACACATATCTTTGGAATTAACATAAGCTTACAACAATTTGCTATGATTTGAGGTAATTTCACTTTAAAATATACTATATAGTACTGAAATCTCCTGGCAGAACCTTACACAACTCATTCTCCAAACTGGTCATATTCATAGGACATTTAATTTTTTTAAATCTGGAAACAAGTTTCCTGGTTAGAACGGAAATGTACATAATTAAAATACAAAAGATAAATAAAAACTATAATTTTTGGTTTAATACTGAAATACTAAAACTTGCCACTTGCAGCTTTCAGTAAGTACATATGTATAAACACAAGCTAATTATTAAAACCTAAAATTCAAGCATGTGTCTGAAGCTATTTTAATTGCAGCAAGACGGATAGCATTCATAATATTAAACACCTCATTTTGAGGTGTTTAATTTCAAAATATTTACTACTAAAGTGATACCTGTACAGATCTGCTTCTGGTTGCTGACATTCTATAACAGCTACCAGTTTGTCCAGGTTGGCAACAGACTGCAGCACTGCTGTTTCTGGGACCGCAACGTGTGTCTGTAAAACAGTGCCCCTTAAGTTAACCAGGCAGCAGGGGGGGTATTTCAACAGGCTGAACTAAAAATGGCATCCCAAATTAACTGTTTCACAGAAGTAACCCCGACCTTAAGATTGGTCTCTCCATCCAAACTTGCAGTGGTGACATGGCATGAACCGTCCACTCGATCAGACGACAGAAGCACCAGGTCAACAGGAAAAGTCTCATCTTTGGCTACTCTGACAATGTCCCCCACCTAATGAAGTGAACACAAATGAGAAATACACAAAGGGAGTTTGAAAAGAGCAGAATTCATTTCAGCACTGTTACCTAACCATGATCAAACAGGTCACAATGATTAGTAATGAAACAAGAGCTGTACTTATGTGATAGAAACACAATTTTCAGTTTGCCCTTAACCACATACCCGAATGTTTTTAGATCTAGTTTTCACAAGGCCACCACTTCGAACAACATAAACTGGAGCACCGTTGACTTCATTGTCTGCTTTATGTCGTAGCCAATCCTCATAACCCTGTGGAAAACACACAGAAATTTACTTTTCAAGCAATAAACCTAAAAAGCTTACTAAATATCTTCTAAGCAAATGCGCTTCAAATTACTTCCTGCATAATCTTAATATAGTAACTAATTTCTCTTGAGTTTCTACTAGAGCTGTTACTCAAGAACCTGGGAAACCTCTTAATTTTCACCCAAGGGAACAAGTGAATGCACATAAAGTAGCAAAAGTGGTGAAGAAACTTAACAATTCCATATTCTCTGAAAATAAACAGGCAGTGATATTTTCTGCAGATCAGATGACCAAGTACTCATTAAATCGTTGATCTGTATGGATTATTATACCACAAATCTGGGAAGAGTCAGTCCCCAGGGTCCTTTATGGATTCCTTTTTTTTAAAGAAGTAACAGACTGAAATTACTTCCTCAAGTCATACCAGACAGCACTTTTTATACTTACTGTCATAGCCTATGCATGAAATCTTAAGATTTCCTAATTTTGCGTGACATGCTGTTGACACATCAGCTCTGTATAGCAAGAGAAGATGACTGAGAAGGTTTTAATTCTTTTTGAGTCCTAATGGAACAGTTTGCAGCAACTGAGCTTTTAACTGATAAATTAAGCAGTTTTTCTTTAATTGATATTCTGCACCTCTTCAAGCACCCTTTATCCCATGCACACAAATGTGCAAACATTCCTGATCATGAATCCAGGTATATTATCCCCATCTTATTTTCCTGAAGTATTTATACATTGCTTATTTAATCTAATAGCATTAGATCATAATATCATAATAATCTCTAATCCCCAAATCTAGGTACTGTTTGGAAAGCCCCACAAGCAGTGCAAGAAATGGATCAATCTATGGATCAACTGCCTCCTACATCCTGGCAAAACTCCTGCAACTCATTTGCAATAACAGAAAGATTTCCTAAAATGCTTTTCTGTAGGTATAAAATTTGTGAAAGAGTTAAAAACACTTCCTTGTAAGTCTGCAGACAGAAGGAGGGAGCTGTATGAAACAGTAGGCATAATCCCAACTCATCCTACAAACATTATATGAATGTAATAATACAAAGAGTATTAATGCAGATGCAGTTGGAGAGTTCTGCAGTTGACTGTAGTCTGTAGGGAAGTTATATGATGAATTTTGTATGTTAAAAGTACAGTTTTGCAGCTCTACCTTCATGTACCTCCACTGTTACTAGCACAAATGAATAAGGACAGCACAACTGCACTGCCTGGGTTTGAAAAGAAAGGGGAGAGGAAACAGGGAAAAGAAAAGAAGCTTTATATGCCAAATGCTTAAAAATAAATAATTAAGAAGTGTGTAGTAATAGCAGCCACACACAGACATTCTGGGAAATCAGAATCCTAAAGCTCCTAAGTAAGACTCTTTTCAGAATCCTTCCTAATCAATATTAAAAAGCAAGAGTCAGTACCTACAGCTCCTTGTTAAAGGTGACTGACAGAAGAAAACAAAGGTTTAACTAAAATCCAGTAACCTTGGGACATTTGTCTCATAGACCTGAACAGCTGAGCAATATGGGCATTTGGCAACGAACTGAAATTTACCTTCTTTAGAAAGTACAGATTTCAGCACTTTCCCCATCTGACATCTACTGCCTACAACCCAAGGGTGACACCTCACACCAGGGAATTCTTAAGAGCCAACTTAATGTGGTCAGTTCAAATTCCCCCAAAATTTACCTACTGTGGCATTTTTGAGAGTTCCTTATCCTCACTTGCAACTATTGGAAAAATACTGTGACAAAGAGAGATGCAACAGGAACACAGGGAATGTTGTTTAATTGCGTGAAGAGAAACGAAGATTAAAATCCCTCAATTAAATTATATTCTTAAGTCCTGTTTAAATAATTGCATCAATGTAATTGAGAAACAGCCTGCATTTTATATGACCAGGGTTTTCATTCTCAGTATAGGTCTATAATTATTCAAAACCTTCAAAGTTCATAATTTAACTGACAGTCAAGTAAACATCTCTGTTCAGTCAGCTAAATACCTATAACTTATTGAAATGGACTAAGTTTCCTAAAGCTCCTTGGGAAATACCTTTATTTTATTGTGTTTTGGTTTGTTTTTTTCACTTTTTATTTTTATTTGTTTGCCAATTTTGGACTCCTCTGAGGATTGTATATAGACCTTCACAGGCACAAGGAGGAAAGTGCTCTGGCTAACAGGACAGATAAAATGACACAGCATGAGTTGCACCACTTTGCAGTCTAGTATGTCCTTCTTCTGACCTAGGTGCAATTACACTTCTAAGAAAAAGTTCTGTCTCCTTTGCTGAGTTTAAAATCAAGCTGAGTTCTGAGGTTTGCTAGAGGTTCCACATTAACTGGACTTCTGGAAGCAGGGGAGAGTTCTTCCACCCACTGCTAAGCTTCTTAAACCTGCATATGGTTAATGCTTCTATTTTTCACCTTCATCTTTTGAGAGAATATTAAATCATAGTTTAACATCTATCCTAATGTAACTTTGTACAGAACTGGTGCCCCACAGTTTTCAAAAAGGGGTTTCTTTCCTTAAAATCTGCTTCCTGTGAGAGAAAATGGGAGCTGATTTTAAGCCAATACTGAGCATTTTCCCCTCTTCATTCCAACAGAAGGTTTGTCTTTCTTCCCTATCTGAAGGCAGCCTGTTGGAAATAGCACACTTAATTGTCCTTCCAAGGTAACAGCTTGTGAATATTTTTTGCCTTCTTTGCAGCATGTAGGATAAATGTGAGAGTCCACTAGATCAGCTTAGGTGGTTCCAGTAGTCCTTGCAGAGATATTGAGACAGCCAGGAAATCTCCTGGTGCTTTGCAAGTCATGAATGATTTCAAGTTTCTCCAGAAGGAATGACAGAATCTCTATTCTTTGCAATTGATAAGATGCTTAAATTTCCCAATATAAGATTGGACATCTGGAACCAAGGTGGTGTTAGATTATTTTGGCCTATTTTAGACTTACACAAGTCCAATTCTTCCTGGAAAAAAATGATCTAATATTTATAACTCTGTTTCATAATCTCTTTTAGTTCACACACCTTTAAGGGATATTATCCATTGCCTACTTATGATTCTAGCTCTTGAATATGCGATTTTCTTGGGGGGGTGATGGTAAAAACTGCAATTGAATAGGATTAGGGCACTCTACATACAGAAATTGCACAGTAACAAGATGAAATGTTAGTCCAAATATTACTCCAGCATGAAGAACCCCTCTGCCCCATTCTACCCAGTTGAAAGCTAGAACTATTTTTACTTTTGCCCTATTTCTGGGTGCCTTTGGGTGTTATTGGCACAGAAGGCAAATTGAAATTCCAGTTGTAGCTCTGTAACAGTCTCCTGCTTATTTTTCAGTTGCTAGACTGCATCTCTTCCCCAGACAGCACTGTCAAACCCCTTGAAGGGGATAGTTCCTGAAAATAACCTCCCTGCAGAAGAGATTATAATTTCTATTCACATCACCTCTTTATTTATGAGCTCGTTTCTTTCTCCTCTTGCTTTAAGGGTTTAGAAAAAACATAAGATTTTTTTTTCTTTTTCTTCTATTTCTACATTCTCTTCACCGGGACTCTAGGTCTCAAAATGGTGCTTGAACAAGATTTCTGTTAAACTCAGATTTTTCTTATTTCAGGTGCTATAAAGCACTTCAAAATGTTTTATGCAATCAAAGAAGAAGAAAAGAAAACCAGAAGCTTTCTAAATTGGAGCTTTTACCTGGTTCAGGATTACATTTAATACCTACTTTACACCATGAAACGTACTCCTTGGGGCCAAACTTGCCTTTTAACTACTGACAAACATGGGCTGCACCACTGCTCCATCCACCCAAGCTCCTTTCTCAGTGTGTGATGTGGGAGGACTGGTTTGACATGCAGTGAGGTGTGCCAAAGGAATAAGCAAGGAGCTTTCAGAAAAGGTCTTATAACAAGTGACATGTAATGTTTAGACAAAAATGCTGCCTGACATCATTCACTGTCCATTTAAGGGTGCTGCAGTGAGTCACTGAGCGCTCGACAACTAACCAAATGCTGAAGCTCAAGCATCTAAAAAGAAACATTAAATACAAAATCCTTTCTAAAAATTACACTGGTTTACGTATTTTTAGTATCTAAGCATTTTCTTGGTCAGACTTTGTTAAGTAACTTTACCCTCAAAAGACTTCATGCCACAAGGTTTTTCCCCTTTACCTGTTTTATGGCTGTCACAGTTATGACAAAGAATAATGGCAATCCACTGGTAATAGGACTGGTAGGGGTATCTATCATGAGCTAAAAGGGAAGAAAATATGAACATTAGCTCAAATTTTATTTTTACCATTGTACTTTCAAAAAAAAAAAAGCCAACAGAAAACCACCCTAATAAAGTAAGATGACAACAAGATGATACTTTTCCAAGTATCTCATTATAAACTGTGAGTGTTTTTACTGCATTTCCTGCAATATTTCTGGAGCAAAACTCAGTTTCTGACACCTAAATAATACATGTCAATAATGATGCAAACAAAAGGTTCTAGGTAACAGTCACATTTATAATGCATGTGACAATTTTAAGAGTCCTTAGTAAAAGGAAGATATACTTCCATTCTACAGAGATGAATTTGGAAGTATATTACAAAGGAAAGAAATCTACATTTCGTGATGCTGTTTCAACATTCTATACAATCTACTGCTTACCAGCAATGTAGAGTATAACATCATCCACTTTAGAAGTGAAAACAAAGTTAAAAACAGTAATTTCCAATGGTTTAGATATTAGAGAACATTTTCTTTTTCAGACTGCACCTTTCCAGTTCCCCCAAGTTAACATGCAGTTTTTACAATCTGTGCTATTGTTGCTGGCATGCCAAAAGTGCAGTGTACACACTAAGATTCTGTATGTGGGGGGATGTTAGTGCTTCTCCTCTGCTGCAGGAAAAAAACAACACGGTCAAGTGCTGCAAAGAAAATATACACAGGAACTATTCAAAACCACAGACACTGATTGGATCCACTTTACCTGAGACCTATGGCATTGCTTTGGGAATCATTAAAGAAGAAAAAACAAAATCATACATGAAGTTTACTCTCTTAAGAGCCAAGAGCCTCACAGAGAAAACAGATTATGCCACCTTACAACGCATGCATGAGTTTATTTCTTTTGCCATTGAAACAGACAATTTATAGAACACAATAAAAATGAGACATAGCCTGCAATATTGTTCTTCAACTGTAGCATTGCAATTTCATCTTGGCAGCATGTTGTCCAAGAAGACCCATGCCAAAAGCACCTGATTTAGGTGATATAGATGACATTTCTGCCATCTATACTCTCTCACTCTTTCTCAAGAGAGGCTTATATATGAAAATGAAGCAGGTTTTGTGCTGGTGGAATTGCCATGGCAGCCTGCTCCCTTTGCCTCTTTCACCAGAACACCATGGTCCTTTGCCTGCCACACAGCTGGACACACATCCACACACACCTGGTGTCACCAAAATGCAGTCTGTCACCATGTTTTGGGCATGCACGTGTGTGGTGAACAACGTGGACTGTACTGTACTGCAAGGTTAAATCCCACACTGAGACTTTGCCCCAGCTCTGCCATCCCCAGTGGAACAAGGTGGTAATGACAGATTCTGCATCTTGGTCACATGAGATTCGTATGACAGGGAATATACCATGGTGATCAACTTTAAAAAGGCACCTTTGCCTTATATAAAAAAAAAATAAATTAGATATTAATGAACTTCCAAATGGGATTTGAATAAAAACATTCTAACAAATGAACAAAAACTACTGCAGCTTTTCTCCTGTTCTACTTCCAAGAATGCAGGCACATAGACAAGACATTTCCCATAAACATGAGGGCATCCACTTGCTACAAAGACAACAGGATTACACTCAGAATAGAAGTTATGCCTTTAGATCTCTATTTGTTCATGGACATCACATTTAGATATTACTGAACTCAACAGTTTGAAAGAAATGTGACACAAAATTGAACTAAAGGGGTAAATCTGCTTTTATTTCTTTTTAATGCAATGCTGGTTGTAGTTACTTTAAGTAACATTAATGTACTATCTCCAGCATGTCTCCATGTTCCTCAAGCTACAATATGTTAAACAGCATGAAACATCACAACAGGAATGACATAGTCAATATTCTTAACTAGGAAAATGCGATGGACAACACATTCTGTTAGACAAAGTTAGAACAGTATGACTTTAGTGACTCCCAACACAGGAATTTTCAGGCTAGAAAGGTCATTCTTTCTAAATGTGAAAGAACATGATCAAGGGACGCAGGAGGCAATGGATTTAAAACCACAGAACTGGCCCAGTACTGACATCTTGTACAATCACAGACAAATTTTATGAACTCCTCACTATCCCTGTTTTTTGTCAAATGAGGTGCCATATTTTTCAGATGCATACTATTAAATGTTGGTTAATCACTGTGGAGGACTGCACACATTCAAAGCATTCTATTTTATAATGATAGAAAAGTTTGTGTACCCCAAAATCTTGTCTCTACCTCAGATATTAATTTGTCTTTCAAAAGTTACTATTTCTTCCTTAGACTCTTTCTCCTTTCAGCTGCTAAGCCTACAATAGCTCCACAGAATTCAGGTACGATTACAGAGCTGGGGGTGCAAAGATTACCAAAAATGTACACACTGTCATAATATACTCGTGGATGATCTTCATTAAAAGAAGAACAAAAAAGCTACAAAAGCCACAGCAGTATTTCAGACCTGTGCTGTAACAATAACAGCATTAACTGACATCTTCAAAACTGACAAACTGTCAACCCAAACTGTAACACCTGTGGGTTCATTTTATCTGAACAAATTGAATGTCAGGATCTTAGAACTGTGTCACAATAGTCTGTTGATTTACAAAAGCGAGATTCCACCTACCCTGGGAATATACACTAATCTCTGCTCAGCTCAAGAGCAAGCACACTGCCCAGTTTGGTGCCAGTGAACCTGAATGTCTGCGTTTCTGCACACAAATGTCCAAGAAGCACTTAAAAACACAGAGTAAAACTCCTGGTTTATTCAAACACCACCAACGCCCACAAAAATAAGAAGCCTATTTGGAATTTCGTTACAACCTTACGAGATTTAAAATTGTATTTTGAGGCAATTGAGTCCCTCTGCTGTCAGTGCAATGGGCTTTAAAACTGCACACTTAAATACATTGGCATTCATAAAGATAAAACCTAAGAATAACACTTAAATTTGGACATAATTGTTTTTAAAGTGATGTTCTTTTCCCAGAGAAACTGGAAATGTGTTCTTTTTATAGGCAGAATATGTAAGTAGAGAAGTTAAATTCACAGAACAAAAATCAGTGGCAGATTTACAACATAAACTGCAATTTCCTGAGTATTATTCAACTTACCTGAACCAAAAATATAATGAGAAAATAAAAGTTGGCTACTCTTCTGAACTGCTCAAATAAGTTTTTTGGAACAAAATTCCACACTGTATACTGAAGGGAAAAAAAGAGAGAGAAGAATAATTATGACACACTGAACAATTTTTCAATGAAATTCAGTTCCAATCCCATTAATGTCTGTTAAGCTAAATCTTTTCATTCTCCATCTCCCCTCCCCCAAACCTTCTCCTGGTCTTGGTCTTCTCCCACACAGAGCTGCTGTATCCAATTTTTGTTGGTTTTTTCTCCTTCTGTTTCAAGTACAGCTAGCAGGGAAGCAGAGGTAGCAACTGCATTGCCAGTACAGGCCATGTTTTAAATGTTCTCCTACCCACTGGGACAGGGGCAGCTGGAGTCATTTGGCTGTTTGCATCCTGGGTAGCAGGGAAGAAATTTAATTCTTGCAGCTGTAACATTCTCTCCAACACCACAGCGACAAGGCACATCCCACCAGCAGCTCCACTGATTTCAATCCAAGAACACACTAGGAGGGAATCTGCAACTGCAGTCCACTGATTTATTTTATATAGAGTATTAGCTTTCAATTTGGCTACTTTAAAAACCCTCACAACTAGCTTCACCCTTCCTTTTAAGTAGTTTGGTGCATCACATTCAGACATGACCAGCACTGGTTTAAAACCTACTTTCCTTCAGAAATTCTGACCAACAGGCTTAATTGCTCTGTACTTTAACAGGCTTTGAGGAAAGAAGGATGAGAGGAGAAAAACCACATAGGAAGCAACCTTGCTTTTCCCTCAAAAAAGTTTAGAGTTTGTTTCATTTTGAATATTGTATATGCACCACTGGACATCATACACACCTGCACATTTACCAAACAACTTTTTAAGTAACATATCAAGTGGTTTTCCCACAAGAAACTGATTCCTTACCTTGGATGATATGATTCTGTTGTCTGCAAACTTCTGAGGAACATAATGGCCATGCTGGGGAAAACGATTTGCTATATAAATAGTTCTTGTATCGCTTTGATGTGGTGGGTCAAAACCCTAAAACATAAAATAAAAAAGGTGATTGAGAAAGGTTGTTAATAACTGCTGTTTTCTAAAACTGTTAACTTTGTGCTGAAAAATGATATACAGATATCAAGCAGCAGTTTCAGAATAGTGGCTCTTGAATAGTAAAGAAAATAAATGTACAAAATTGAAGTCTGTTTTGTCCATAGAATTTTCAAAAATTGGGAAAAAACTCTCCCTCAATTCTGAGGTTGTGTACTCATTCTGAAAAATAAAATTAAAAAAAATCTTTTCTCAAGGACAGAGATGCAAACTTGAAACCCTGTGAAACTTAAAAAAGAAATAGAAATGAAGATGAAAATATAATTAAATTACAAAACCTCACAGTTGTGCTCATAAAACCGATTATTGAAAAAAATAAAAGGTCAAAACAAACAAGTTATACTAGTATGCTGTGATAACTGGATTTTGAAAAGATTCTCACCAGCTAAAAACCAAAAGCATACGCATCTGACTAGACAATACTGTTTTTCCAAACAGGTTTTATCTCCAAGAAGTAACAATTTGTCAAATCTCAAATGTGATTTCCTGTCACAACCACCAATTCATCCAACAACTCTGAGTCATCCACGTCATCCCACTGAGGAAAAGGCCTTCAGTGCTGAGGAGGCTGGAGAAGAAGTAGGAGCCACAGCTGAAGCACTGAGAACCCACTGGACAACACCCAGAGGACTGGAACATGAGCCACAAGGGATCCTAAAAACATGACTTATAACGCAAGGCTGAACAATCTAAAAGGCAAAGAGCAAACAAATTAGAGTCATTTAGCCTAGAGGAGAGGAAACTTGGGATATCCTAGCAAATCTTCTGATTTATAAAAGACTGTTCCATTGAGAAAATAGGTAATTTAAAGGACAAAGAACAGAAGCAAGTAGGCTTAAGCTGCAGGTAAGAAAACTTAGTCTGGATATTGGTAACCAAACCAAAATTCCTTTCTTATGGAAAGGAAGAATTAAAAACCAAAATAAGTCATGTGGGAAGGTTGTAATGTCTCTGTAACACAAGGGCTTGTATCTAGGTCATTCAAGTCTATCTTTAATAGAGCCTTTCCTGGGGCTACATGACTCACCAGAACTCTTCCTAGCAATAATTTTTTGACCTGGACAAGCAGGTGATGCCAAAAGACAACAAACAACACAATAAAACAGTAATAATTCAGACAACAGGCCAAGAAAACTACTAAAATAAAAAGAGAAAAGCTCTAAGACATGAAATAAACAGTGAAATTAAATCTGGAACTGTTAATTGTTCAATCAGGAATCAATGACTGTCTGTGAGGTGCTGAATTTCAGCGCCAACACCACCCACATTCCTAATCTTAGAATTGACTTTGCACTGTGTCCACAATCTCCTTGTTCTTTGATGCCATGTGCAAGGACAACTGGTGGAACAGCCAGGAAGGGCATTACCAATTCCATTACTGCAGGTGAGGAAACGACATTTGCAGTTGTGTTGCTTCACATGTGAAACCAGGCTCAGACCCTGAATGATGTCAAATAAAAACTGACACTTCACAGAACTCCAGAAGAAGATACTTCTGTACCAGTAACTACAGATGATAAACAGTGAGCACAATGAGTGACACAAAAAGTGGTTGGTATAACCCATCAAGAATTTTCTTTAATCCATGAATATCTCTAACACAGGGCATTAGGTCTGTTCACATCCAGGATGGCGTTATTTTAAAGTAACGTAATAATAAAAAGAATCCTCTCAAACATACAAATTTTTGTGTTTGACATCATTACCAGAGAAACCTTCTGCATCAGAAAGAAAGAGGTCCAGAAAAAAGAAGGGAGAAAGAAAGGAAGGGGAATTTTTCAAAGAGATTTGAAGGAGAACAAACTTTAGATGACAAGCAGTGGAAGGCTGGTCTAGTCACAAGCTCCAGGGTGAAAACTTGTTTAAAGATAAGAGTGGAGCAGTGAGACAAAAAGTAGATAGGGGAAAGGACAGGAGAAAATACATAGGATGCCAAAAGCAAAAAGAAAGGAACTGTTCACAGCTTTAAGAAATACAAGCATGAAAGTAAGATGAAAAAAAAAAGTACCTGTTAAATGATGACACAAAATTTAAAAAGAGAACAGTGTTTGCAGCAGAAGCATTTTGGATACCTGACATTAGTGACACATTATTTCTAAATCAATCCAGAAGATGCCACAAATAAAAGGGTTTTGCAAGCAAGAAAAAATGTGCCTAATTAGTAAGACTAGGTACACAGCTCTCTTCTATCTCAGAAAATGTCTGGCACTCACAAAATACCAGACATTCTCACTTTGGAAAGTCATACTCTACAGCCTGAAAAAATTCAAACAGATGTAAAGCAAGGGAAATAAAACCAGAAAAAGCAAAGAAAACAAGTGGTAGTCTTCTTTCTGACAGTGAAAAATGCTAATCTCCATGCCACTTGCTGAAAGTTATTAAAAGATAAATAAAAGATTTCAGAGCGACTACAGTATCACTGAATTTTTTATATGCCCTTTTTAGGCAACTATCTGAGCACCTGAAAGTTGATGAGTTTGATGACATTTTTATTATGAAGAGTAAAGACCTCTGTACAATTCCAGCCTCACTGTACAAGCACTTCTATCAGAGAAGAATACATCTGCTGAAGCAGACTCAACTGATTAAAAGAAATCTATTTTCCAAATCAGAATCTCTGGCCATACAATTTTACAGGTGCAGATGTGCAGTTAAAACAGCTTAAAATTGCAGTCTTTACACATTTAATTCCATTTTGTTGACATTTGCCACAGAGAAAGCTCAGAAGTTGAGCAGTCAGCAGATCACAAAGCACACCCAAGGCAGGCTGGGGACAAAAACCCTTCAGTTGTCAGAGCTGTGGTTGGAAAAGGACATCCCTGACAACCTTAGTGACTTGACTGTAGTCACAGCAGGAAATAAGTGTCAGAGCTGGGAACAAAACCCAGATTTCTTAAATTTTATGACTGTAACTTCTAAAGATCATTTGAAATTACCCAGCATCCCTGTCATCTCATAATTAGCCAGACCACAACCAAGTAGATCTGCCAGAGAAATTTTCATTACACATCTCTCCAAGGAAAATTCTGCACAGACAATGAACTTAATTTTCAAGAACTGAAATGTCTTTAACACTTCTCAAACTATGGGACTGGTCATTGAGCCTGCTCCTGACACAAACTGATTTGTAGTCCAAAATTTTGCCCGGCAAAGGGATTTTGCACGGTAACTGTGCACAGCCAGCAAAGCAGGCTGAAGCACACTGTCTCCTAATTTCACTTATTAGACAGTTCTCTCTTTCTAACGTCATTCTCTAACTCAGCTGCAGAAGTAGGGTAACATGCCCTTGTCAAAGGATTTCTGCAGCTGAACAGCAGGAGCAGAGAATCCCCAAATTAAAGTTTGAGTCTTGCAAAACGATTGTCACCAATATCTTTCAACAAAAGTTAGTTTTCCTGCAGTTCTCTCGTGAAGTGATTTCTACCCAAGTGCACAGATAATTGATGACATCACAAATGATGCTGAGTGTATTACAGAATCTGATATTTAAGGCTTCTTGATAAGGTATATCACAGGCATATATATTACATGAGTCAGCTTTAAATAAAATTTGACCATAAGATAAAGTGACCTGATTTTCCCCCCTTCATGCTGCAAGTTAAATCTAGATTTATTAGCTAAAGTTCAGCCCTTCAGCTGATTTATCAACACAAACCAGGAGTTATCTACCCTTGGAATACATCCCTCACTTAATTTCAATCTACACATCCCCAATAGAAGTTTTGCACCCAGATAAACTTGATATGTTTGTTTTTGAATATAGTTTAAACACATACCGCTTAAATACAATACAAAGTGACTGAGTGAAGCTGATTTACAAAGCACAAATGAAAGTAACTTTTGAGGAAAAAAAAAGAAAAAGAAGAAATAAGTGATTCAGAGTTTTCCTTTTTTATAAATTTGCAATGACTCTAACCAAAGATGAAGTAGTTTTTATTAAATTCCTTCAGCAGTGATTTCGTTACTGTTCTAAAAGTTAGACAAAGACATCCTCTGTGCAATAATTAGGTCCCTTTAAAACAGCACAGAAAACATACCCCGAGGAACTGAGGAGAAATATTTGACTGCAATTTTATGCAATTTATTTCATGAAAGAAATGGGATTCAACAGCCACCCCCAAATAACCCCTTCCTACATTCTGTCTCCATCTCAACCACTGTACCAGAATTGCCCATGTAGCCATCGGATAAGGTGGACTGGAAAACTGATCCAACCAAACCCCCACCATTTTTCCCACTTGTTTTTTTTTTGTTTGTTTGGGGTTTTTGTTGTTTGTTTTTGTTTTTGTTTTTAATGTGTCAGTTCCCTAAAACAATTGCATGGTCATGCCAATTGCCTGGTGACAAAAGCATTTACTATGAAAGAAGAGTTTTATATTGCTGCTGAGGAAGCATTATTAACACACACAATGAATTAGGCAACCACAGAGTAAGCAAATGAGAAGCAGCACTACAAAAAGAGACCCTCCCAACACCTGCAAGCGTAAAGGAAGAAAAGAAAAACAGCTTTTGTGGTCAACTTGTTGATATAATATACACATATACTGCATATATATATACATATATACACATATAATGCTTCAATACCACTATTAACGTAGGGCAGTGTGCACGGACACCCTCCCCACACCCTCCCCAGCACTGTGAAGTGAGACAGCAGAAATTCATGGATCTTTCAGCAAGGATTAGTGACATGAGACCAGCACACAACAAACCAATCACTGTGTCAAGCTTTGCAATACAAACATCGATAATTACAAATCATCTGACAGGCAGTTTTTGCCTGTGACTTGAATAAAGCTGGCATGGTTTAACATCATCTCCCAGGGTTTCTCATTCATTCCTCACAGCTTTTACAGGGGTAAAAAAAGCAAACTTATATTTGCCAAAAGAACTTCTGCTATGTGACCACTTTTCAGTGAAAGGGGTTTGAAAGAAGAAGTCTCATTTAGAGCCTCTTCCTCATTTTAAAAACCACACTGGACAGTGCTAGGAAAAGTAGTAGATTCCCCATAAGCCATCTGATTATCAAGTACTACCCAATAAAACTAATAAACAGATGAAAACCTGGTCTCAGAAACCCTTTTTCCTCAGGAAGTGACTTGACTGATCGTGGCTGCAGAAGCAGAACACCACATCTCCTGGCAGACAGCCCAAAAGTCTATTACACTGCTGTCAAGATATATTTTGATTAAAGGTGTTTTGAGGAAATGGATTTTCTTGCTTTGGATTTTCTTCTGAATATGCATAGAATACTTTTCCCTCTGTCAGATAAGATGATCTATTCACACTCCATGCCCATTTTCAGAAGTCTGTGTAAATTTGTACTCTATACAGTCAGCCAATAATTCTTTCAGTCATATAACTAGGCACTGGTCAAACTGAATTTGCCATATCAAAGGTTAGCATGAAGGAGGAAACAGCCTCTCACAGCAATTTTAAACACTGCTCTAACAACTAAGTAGTGAATCAGCTGAAGCACCCTGATGTGTACGTGGTTTGTTCCTCCCCTTTTAAATACCACTGCAGTAAAGAAATAAAACTGTACTAAAAGCCATCCACCATTCGTGCAACTTCCTCTTCCCACTTACTGTATCTACAGTTGTTTAAAATATCTGACAATAAATCATGCTGTAACCTTCTAAAAGACCTATAACCAGACTACATTATTTTGTGATAACACACCCTCTAGGAAACAAGGCCTGAGAAATCCCGAAGCAATAATCTGTCCTTTTACTACATTAAAAAATCTGCTGCATGCTATATTCAGAAAAGTTGTACTCGTGCTCATCACAAAGTCCTGGTTACATATAGCTCAAGTTGTTCTTATTTTGCCTTATTTTTTCAAAATGCCCACAGAAGTAACCTGGGAAAATCCCTACTTACAATTTAAAAAAAAAATCATCTGTCTTCTCCTTATTTATCTGCAAACATAACAAGCCAGGTCAACTGGCCTCATTCACTGCTAACATACTTCCCTGCGCCAGTCCCTCTACTCTGGTCACTGATGCCAAACATACTGGTCTTGTAACATCAATAAAATCAGAAAGGAAAAGGGAGCTGAGCAGGCAAGTTATGCTTTCTAACACAGTGCTCTCAAGACTGTTGTGGCATGGCTGGTTCCTGTGAGCAGCAAAGAATTTTAACAGAGGTTCAGGTACAATGCTTAATTCTAAAATAGTCTGACTTGCATCAATGCAGGAAATGGCTTTCTTACCCTCCTCACAATCCAAATCACAGTATTTACAAAGCATTTTGGATTTCATAGGATAAAACAAACCTAAAGCCTTATAACAGCTACTTGTGACTGTCTTCAAAAGAATGCCAACATTCACATTTGTCCTACAGAATTATTATTCCAGCACCCAAAGGGGGACTACAAGAAAGCCAGGGAGGGACTGTTTACAAGGGCATGTACTGATATGACAAAGGCTAATGGCTTTAAACTGATAGAGAGCAGATTTAGATTAGATATAAGGAAGAAATTTTTCCCTGTGAGGGTGGTAAGGCTTTGGCATGGAAAGCTGCTGATGCTCCATTCCTGCAGTGTTCAAGGCCAGCTTGTATGGGCTTATCCTCTTGCCTCGATGTATTTAACCAATAAAATGCCTGTAATACATTCCTCATTCATTGCTTTATTTAGGATGCTCCCTGTCATAGTCAGACACACAGATTATGAAGATTATCAATAATAAAATCCAGTGATACTTTTGCTCAGATGCTGTTTGGCAGAAAACAGACTTCACAATAAATGTGTCTTCAACTCAAATGAAGGAAGAAACTTAGTTAACAGCCAAGAAGCAAACCTCAGTCTCAGACAGGGCTAGTCGCTACTCTTCAAGGCCAGTCAGTGCTCTCTAAATTTTTTCTTTTTAAAAAATGTTAAAGTCCAAGAAGTTTGTGAGAAGTTGAAGTTTGACAGGATCTGTGGTCCAGACAGAATATTTGGTATTTTGCCATGCTTCCCAAAGCAGCCCATTCCTCTAAATAAGTGGAAATGAAGATGCCTTTGAAGTTCCAAATACACAGTTTTTTAATCTCAGAACTAAAAGTTTGCCTCTGTGGGCTCCAGCAATTAGTTGTTCATATCTGCAATATCATCTCCCCCTCAAGCATGAACAGAGACTGGGCAAGATTTTCAAAGCTGACGGGTGATTTCAGATACCTCTCAAGAGACAATTATAGGGCACCATATTTTGTAAAATAAGAATTGAGATCCCCAAAATCACAAATCACTTTGAAGAACACTGCTCGAATATAAAGTACCTTGAATATGGAAAGTGCCACAATTCTGCAGTAATCAATCAGACAGAAATAGCAGCTACTAAACAGGTCACACTAAGAAATACAGAACCAATGCAGTAAATGAAACATTTAACATACAAATCCTTCATCTACCTTGAATAACCGTGGTATCTCAGAAAAAAGTAACAAAAACCCCCACACCCTAACTGTATTCTTTCTGCACATTCCCTGTATTCATTTAAGTAAGGTTATAGCAGATGTTCAATATTTAATAAGGCATTCCAATCTGTGACAGGTTATGAACTTTCACTTAAAACTAGAAAGCAGCTCCAATTTTGTAGATAACAATTTCACCATAAAAACATTACATTTGTCAAGTGCATGACAGGACAAATACAGAAGAATCATACATTCCTTCACAGATTTGCATCCTATATGCACCAGTATCTTAAAATGAAATGCTGTTTACTCACTGCTTTGAAGAGTCATTTGTAAAAGTATTTTACACAAGCATGAAGGGTTCCTGTTCTGGGCTACTAATACAACCACTATCCCATAAGAATACTGAAAATCATCATTTTCAATATCTGGATTGGTTCTAGCAGCAATAGCTACTTATGCCAATCAGCTCCGGCACTGCAAGTCTAATTCACATTTTCCTTCAGCATGGGGAAAAAAAACAACCTTTCCAAATATCTCTTCCCCCAGAATCACCCCAAGATAATAAATCTTACGGCTTTTTCAAAATGTGTGCCAAAATTACACTGACAATTGCTGACAGTTGCTGCTCAACAAATTTCACAGGAAGAGAATTTCGTTCATAGCCAGGACTGTCTAGTTCTTCCTTTTAACATGCTCGGATAAAGCCTGATCTGTAAAAACATTACAGTTTGCTCCATCCATTGAATAGCACTTTAAGTTTTAATTCCATTTCAAATATGATTTATGACCTAAGTATCAGTTAAATGTCCTGCTTTCAGACATGTGTACAGACTAGTTTATCCCTAAAGCCTACTAAATCTTAAGCATCCTTTCTGTTTTGTTGCAATTCCCCTTCCAAACAGATATGTAAAATATCTCAAAAAAACTAGCACAGCTGCCCATAAACTAAGCACAAAAACGTGCAAAGGAGTAACAAAATGCAGCAACATATAACAAGATATTTTTTTTGGTTTAAACCATTTGAAACTTCTTCCCCTGGTAAAGTATTTCAGGATGAAAACAGCCAGCTTGCCTTTTGTCTACATCATTATCTCTCCTTCCCATTTACAGTAAAGTTTTCCTTTCCCATGCTTATTTTTGCTCAAAGTAAACAAGGAAAAAAATCCTCTTAAGTCACTGCATGTGGGAGGCCAAGGAATTGCAGGGGTTTGTGTAGGGGGCCGGAGATTGAGAACAGTTGAAAGTGTATACAGTCGTGTAGAAGATGAGAAGGTCATGTCTGACCACAAAGGACAAAAGGAGAAAAACAGGATGTCAGGTTGGGCAGTAAAAACAGGAACTTGTAACCGCAGAAGCATTAATGACGCCAATATAAGTAACCAATGAAGAGAACCCCTTGCTCGCATGTATTGCGCGTGGACAAGGTGACTTAGCCAATAAGCTTATGCGTGATCGCGTGTACGGAAGTGAAACAAACATAAATGTAGTCATAGAAGCTTCAATAAACGGAGTTCTGCTTTACCCACATCGTGTCGGTGTTCTTGCTCCCCTCCACCTGGCCGCTGCACTGTGGTGACCCCGACGTGATACTGCACGGACGCTGCGGACGAGAGAAGGTGGAGACATCCCGGCTGCTAGGAAAGCAGGCTGCTCGAGAAGCAGGATCCTTGTTGTGGCCACGGCTGACCGGTGAGTCAGGCAGACTGCGGTCTGGACGGGATGGGTGCCGCTGTATCAGCGATAGAACGAGCTACAGTCGACGGGTTGCTCAGTGTAGCGAAAAGGACTGGGCACACGCTCCCTCGAGCTGAGCTCGTGGACTTCTTGTATTGGTGTCGGAGACGTGGTCTCTTGACTTCTTCTGATCAATTGTTTGATATCGAACATTGGGAAAAGATTGGGTCTGAATTATGGCAAAGTGTGCAGAACGGCCAAAAGGGGAGCAAGTAGATGGCGCAGATCTTCCGAATAGTTCGGGAGATGATTCAACAAGTCCATGCTGATGCTGAAATCGCCACTGCTTTGCAAAAAGCCCTCGATTGTTCTACACAGCCGAAGGAAAAGGAAAAAGACGAGGAGGGAAAGGACAGTTGTTCGACGTTGATAGATTGGGAGGCAAAATCTGATCCTCCCCCATTGTACCCCCCACTAGCAGCGCCTATGTTTCGGGGAGAGTTTGAGGATCTCATTCCCCCTTGGACCCCTAACGAGATTTCTGCTGGGACAGCTGCTGCGCCTTCTGCGCCCCCTCCCCCGGAGGCTATGGAGGTTGATCCAGCTAAAGTACCGTTACCGGAGGACGGAAAAACGTCCCCTCAGAATCCTCTTGTCGACGAGCTACGGTTGCAACGAGAGCAGATGGCTAAGTTGCTGGGGGCAATGCAAGAAATAGACTCTAAAGGGGGGAAGGGCAAAATGTGGGAGTTATATGAGAAAGCGGCTAAAGCGGTACAACAAGGGATACAGAACATAGAAGAGCAGCTTAATAGACATGAGGTGGCTGAATGGGGAGGCAGAGAAGGAATCAAACAAGCCATCCTGCAGCGTAGGTTGACAATAGCGGAAGGACAGCAGTTGATACAGCGACTTCTAGGGGCACACGAAGGGCTTACGACGGGAGAGAAAGAACAACTACAAAGGGCAGTAGACGAAGGCAGAGAGGAGATAGATGTTCGTAGGAGACTGCCTTTTGATAAGCGTGGGACAGATCCTTTTGATAGGCGTGGGGCAGACGGAGCCCGGGGGCCTCCGCGAGATGATTCTTTCGATCCGACCAGGCGCTGGAAGGGACAGGAACAGCCTCGGTGGATACCGGCTCGGTGGGTGAAACCCTGGCTCTCCAAGGTGGATGCAGCAGCAGCCGAGAATAGCGATACAGGAAGCGCTCCGACAGCTTGATGAAACATCACGACAGCGAATACAACAAAAGGTTGCTTTAGTACAACAAAGACTGCTGCACTCGGCGGTAGTGAAGGAGGCCAGTGGCTGGTATTACCACCAGAAACCGTCATTGAATAATTACTTGGGCATCCTTGAATTATTATCAGTAACTACTCGCAAAGGGTGGGACGAACAGCCTTGTTTAGTATGTCAAAGTGAGCTCTGTTTTTCCTGGGTTGCTCTAAGGTGTGGGGGTTGTAATCACAAAATTTGGTGGAATCAGAGATTACTTAATAAGAGGTGGTGTCCAAGGTGTGAGTATAGCTATTCAACCGCAACGTGGGAGCAAGAGCTTTTTCGCATTCAACAGCGACGTCTACACTTTGAATCGCTAGAGCAAAAAATATTAGCATACTGTAGGTGGGCATTGGAGAAGGAGGTACATCGCCTAGAAAGTCAGGGGAAAACATACATACTTCAAACACGGTGCAGTCGGAAGGTACCCCTGAGATTTTTTACATTAGTAGGGCCCTTTAGAAGAAGCCCTGATAAAGCGTTAGCAGAAGCAGTTGAAAGGCTGCGCAGAAATGAAGGATATCATAGCACTGCTCATACTGTTCGCCTCTGGCGTCACCTCTTGGCTAACGAAAGTTGACCAGAGGCAAAACATGTGGATTACATGGGCTAATCAGACTAATCTAACATCCTTTTGCCTATCCTTAGCCACACCTTCCGATCCATTTCGCACTTGTCTATTAGGCATACCCTTTCAGTCATACACCGACCTTTTGGTTATGCGAGGATGGATAAAGCCCAAGGTTCCAATGCCCCACAATGAAAGTCAATTCATAATTCAAGTCTGCAAAGTTACAGCAAGCCTTAGCAATAACAGAAGCACTTGGGGTAATACGACATGGTGTCAGATACAGATTACAAGAAGAAGCGAAAATGGTTTAGCCTTATACCAATGGGGGCTTGCATGGTGGACACGTAAAATATTACTGAATTTAAATCATACTGGTCTAGAACCACAAGAGTTAGAATTGCTGGGCTCCAAGCCAGGAAATTATTGTGTTGTTTTCGGAGACATTTACAATAACCCAGAACACAAGCGCCCAGTCAATGACAGTGTAATAGTAACCCCCTCTAATGTTGAGATCTATAATTACAACATAGGAAGCCCCTATTGCCTAAACGGAGTAGACTTTATTGAGACGCTTAACAAATCCCCACGGCGTTTACCCCCTGCTACGTTTCTAGTCTGTGGAGATAGAGCATGGAACGGCATTCCAGCTAGCCCATGGGGAGGCCCCTGTTGGTTAGGCAAATTGACTTTGTTCTCCCCACAACTAAGAGACCTGCAGAATGTTACCCGATCACCCAAACGACAAAAAAGGAGTATAGCCATGATGAATCAAAACTGCAACTCTCACATAGTTTTGTGGAGTTCCCCTATCCAAATCTTAGCTTCTATCTTTGCTCCTCATGTTTCAGCAGCCCATGCGTTGAAACAAATAACACGGCTAGCATGTTGGGCTGGGAAGCAAATCAACATCACCTCTGACATTATAGGGCAACTTACTCTTGATGTTGATTCTGTAAGACATGCGGTACTACAGAATCGAGCAGCTATTGACTTTTTGCTTTTAGCGCATGGACATGGGTGTGCAGAATTTGAAGGCATGTGTTGTTTTAATTTATCTGATCACTCTGCGTCAATACATAAGAAATTACAACAGTTACAAGACGGCATGCACGATTTAATGATCAATAGCAACCCTTTTGATAGTTGGCTACGCTCTTGGGGAATAGGAAACTGGCTACGCAATATAATAATAGCTTTAGCCGGTCCCTCTATCATTTTATTGCTTTGCCTTTGCTGTGGACCTTGCTTATTACAGTGTCTGTTGTCGCAAATATATAAAGTGATAGACATGCTATTTGAAAAAAGAGGGGGAGATGTAGGGGGCCGGAGATTGAGAACAGTTGAAAGTGTATACAGTCGTGTAGAAGATGAGAAGGTCATGTCTGACCACAAAGGACAAAAGGAGAAAAACAGGATGTCAGGTTGGGCAGTAAAAACAGGAACTTGTAACCGCAGAAGCATTAATGACGCCAATATAAGTAACCAATGAAGAGAACCCCTTGCTCGCATGTATTGCGCGTGGACAAGGTGACTTAGCCAATAAGCTTATGCGTGATCGCGTGTACGGAAGTGAAACAAACATAAATGTAGTCATAGAAGCTTCAATAAACGGAGTTCTGCTTTACCCACATCGTGTCGGTGTTCTTGCTCCCCTCCACCTGGCCGCTGCAGGTTTGTTTTTCAAATCACAGTGTAGCTGTCAGTCCCACTTTCTATCTTTTCTATCATGGCCCGTACTATTGCTAAGTGGTTTTTTCAACAGCAGCTGAAAAGAGGTTTGTAAAAAAAAAAGAAAGGTTAAAAAAAAGTCTAGCTGCAAATATGTCACCTGTGTTTTGCTGAAAGATATGACCTTGCATTTACAGAGGCACTTTGTCAGATCTGTCTTGCTGCAGTTCTCATCTGCTGGCTTAACAAACAGATTTTGTGCTAGAAATTAGAGGATTTTTTGGAGAGGTATAATGTAGATACCTTTTGCCTGGTGAAATAGTTTAAAAACGAGTTGTAACTACTGAGGGCATTAAAGTACAATAAAGAGACCACCAATGAAAGGCACCAGTCATGAGGCTTTCAATGAAATTTAAATGCTTTATTATAGTTTTCTTTTATAACTCCTATCTCTCCATCCTGAGGAAAGCAAATGTCAGTTTTAATGAAGTCAGTCAATCCATTTAAAACTAGAAAAACAAATACCAGTGATATTCAAAACACATGTTGAATGTTATTAAATTTAGCACATATTTACTTGCCTTAGATTATGAATTTTACTTTCTGGTGAGAGGTCATAAGCAATCTCTTAACACTAAGAAGAGGCATTCACCCTGAACCACCTCCCCAAATACTATCTGCTGACTAGAACACAAAAAGTTTTTGCTCTTTGTCAACAAAATAATATTTTTCTCCCTAGTCACATAAAACATAAATAGATGGTAGTTAGTGAGGGAAGAGGACCTGTTAGTGCAGGAATATCATACAGTCAATTAAACAGTCATATTATTGAGTGACAAGTGGAAATTTGGCACAACAAAAAATCTGCTGCTTAGAAAAAAGAAATCCAAGTCTCACAGCAAGGCAGCACATCGGACAACGCTGATCTTCCTACTTTTAAAACAGTCTTTGAAAGACACAGTGTCATGACTGCTTTGATTAAGTTTGGGTAGGCAATTTTTAAATTTAGGGTTTAATTTTTTATGAGGTAAGACTTAAAAAAATCCCACACAGGACAGAGTGGATGTCTCCACTGGGAACAGACAGCTGGCTGAAGGCAGGGCCGGGTTCTGCACGCTTTGGAACACACTGTGCTGAGAATGTATTAGCCTTCAGCAGTCGCAGAATACAGAAAGAAAATAAGGGTAGAAGACCCAAACACAATGGGAGGACTCATCCAGCAGATCAAAGAATATCTCTAGCAGAAAAAAAAACAGGCCACATTTTCTCCTGACATGAGGGGAGTCACCAACCCCCAGCTCTCAAGCTACTCTACCAAGGCAATGCCACCTTTGGCCTGTTCTAACACGCACCTCACTGATCCTGCAGTGACAATTCAGAAGGTATTAGCTGGGCACTCTGAACCATGGAAACTCTTCTGAGAAAATATGCATTTATTTTTATAGTATACAATAACAAACACCCACTTAATTTTAGTCAAAAAGGCTAAGAGGCTTCAATGACAAATAAGAGGGGGAAAACGATACTCCAGAAAAGCAAGGTGATTTCAGAAGCTAGATTCTCAGTCATTAGATTAGTTTAAACTACTTTCAGCATTCAAAAAATACAGGGAATTACTCTTTTTTTTTGGGGGGGGGGGGGTTAACTGTATTGATTCAATTCATTCAACAAAATGATTAAGTGAAAATAATAAACACATGCCAGGGCAAACAATGAGATCAAATGCTGTCCACCTTGCTCACAATGCCAATAACTGCAAGTTATCTCAAAATACCATCTGTTCTCTCAGAACATCTTAACAGATACCAACATCTGGAAGCAAAAGGGACATGACAGAGATTACCAAAACAAAACAGTCAAAAACATTCTCTACGATCACCCCTCAGTGCAGGCTATGTAGAACTTTTGGACCAGATGAACTCTAAACTTTCCTCCCAGTCTGAGCCTTCCTATAACCATGAAATAAAATTTAGTCTGGTAATTAGGTTTTCTGCTTAATCTATATTTTTTATTTTTGACTTACAGCTAAATAGTAAAGCTGCATTTGCCCGTATACCTCACGTAAAAGTTGCTGTCAGTGCACAGCAGCACTGAGGTTCTTAAATTGTAAAGATCCTCTGTCAAATACAGCTCAACTTTGCTTGTCTTGAACTTGTCATTTATAGAAGAGGGACCAGGCAGGCAGCTCTTAGGTTTTCTCCATGCAATATCTTTTGTACATCATTGAGATGACAGATAACAGATCAAAAGGCTCGAACTCCTCATAATAGCAACTAGAAGGATAAACCAGAGACCCTTCTTCACATGACAGGACTAATAGTTCAAAATTACACAGCTAAAATCACACATACAAAAGTATTCTACAACATTTTTTGGATACCACCTCACCAGACAACTGAAGGTATCATTATTTTCTGTCAATACCACTGCAACAGCTCCTACACTCCATGTGCACCACCAGGACCCCAGCACAGTCCAAACACTGTCACAAACCCACAGAACTAGAAGTGGAACAGAAAGTCACCGAGGTTTACAAATGACATGCTGTACTCTCGTTTTGTGTTGGTGCTGCACAAACTCGACCGGGGGAGCCACAACCCCCCTCTGCCGTACACAGATCAGCTATGTCATCTAACCCAGCACAGCTGGAAGTGCAAATAAAATGTACTATGCTATTCCTGAATATTAGTGATGCTTCCTATCAACTGTTGTTTATCCAGTTGCTTTTTTCAAGCAGAGTTGGCTGTGCCTGTGGCTTTATGCAACCCTCAGCAAATCCACATGCCCCCTGCCTTTCTGAGATCTCAAGGTAACAGAGTTGGAACTCAAGCATCTTTCCTGTGCAAAGCTTGTCTTTGAAGTACCTCAGGGTATTTTACTCAAAGCCATGAATTGTAACTCTACTTTTCTCTACATTTTGCATTACTAAAACTTAAGTACATCCAACTATTAACTAGATAATTATATCTTTTTAATATTAACTAGAAAGTTAATGAATTACTATACAGTCTATTTAAATGGGACAGCAACAGATGAAGAAAAACTGATAAACTGTCTCTGTAGAGTGGTGTGAATTCTTCCTACACAAAAAAACAGACTGAGGGCCAAGATACCAAACAACCTGACAATTCATGTCACATAAGCACTGAAGACTGAGCAAGAGAATTACTGTCATTCAATTCCTGATATACAACAAATCACTGAAAAAAATATGTAACACCTCAGTTAGAAAACTGTTAAGGATTTTTAAGACCATTACAAAGATGAAGGAAATCTTACATTCTCAGCATGTCTCCCCTTCTCAGAGGACTGGGCACCCCTTTCTGTACGTCTACAGGCATGCATAGATCTTCACAGACTAAAGCACAGCAAAATCACTTAATATATCACTTAAAAATCACCACTTAAAAAACTTAGCTGAAATAATCTGAACTCCATACCAGGTC